TCTGGAGGCCGGAAGTCCAAGATCAAGGTGTGAGCAGAGTTAGTTCCTTCTGAGGGCTGTGAGCGAGAATCTGTTCCATGCCTCACTCCTAGCTTCTGGCGGTTTCTTGGCAATCTTCAGCATTCCTCAACTTGCAGAGAAATCACCCCAATCTCTGCCTTCATCTTCATATGGCATTCTCTCTGTACGTGTGTCTATCTGCAAATTTCCCCTTTTTATAAGGACACAGTCGTATTGGATTAGGATCCACTCTACTCCAGTATGACCTCATGCTACCTAATTCCGTCTGCAGCAAACCTATTTCCAGAAAAGGTCACACTCTGAGGTACTAGGAGTTACGACTTCAACATAGGTATCTAGGGGGACACATTTCGACCAGTTAACAGAGGCCATGGTAAGGACCTCAGCTATTAAGCTGCGTAAGATAAGAAGCCACTGGAATGTTTGGAGCAAGAACATTCCATGATCTGCCTTATACTATAAAAAGATTTCTTTAACTTCTCTTTTGATAGCAGACTCAGGCAGGCGATGGCGGAAGTTGAGAAGCCGGGTAACGGGTTACAGTGGCTTGAACCAGGATGCTAACCTGGAAAGCAGTGTCAAGTTTGGCTTCTAAGTATATTTTAAAGACATAACTAACAAGAATTTCTCAAATTACATACAGGCGTTGAAGGAAAGAAGTCAGAGATAGATGCAAGGTTTTTGGCTTGAGTATTTAAAATACAATTTACTGAGATGGGAAAGACTGAATAGAAGCAAATATTTGGTGGAAAATTAAAGTTTTGGATATGTTGTTTGAGTTGCCTATTAACCACCCAAGTGTAGATGTCATGTTGGATTTACAAGCCTGGAGTTCAAGCTGGAGATACAAATTTGTGAGATGTCCATGCTTGGATTTGTAGAATCAAGAGACTGAGTGAGTAATGACGTTGAGCACCTGTTAACAGAGGTTATTGACCATTTGGATATTCTCTTTTGCAAGGTTCCCATGCATGTCATTTGATCATTGTTTACATTGGGTTGATTTTTCCTTATTGATTCTTTATATATTCTGGATATAAGTCCTTTGATAGATCCAAGTATTATGAATATCTTTCCCTTTTCACTCTCTGTGTCTTTTGATAAACAGAAATTCCTAATTTTAATAAAAATCAATACTTTTTTCATGTTTAGTGGTGCTATTTGTGTCCTCCTTAAGTAATTGTCCTACTCCAAAGATCATGAAGACTTTCTATATGAAAATTTATTGTTTTATTGTTCATATTTAGGTCTATGATCCATTTTGAATTAATTTTTGTGTATGCTGTTAGGGATCAACGTTCCCTTTTTCCCCCATGGGGGTAGCCAATTGATTCAGCACCATGTATTGAAATCCTTTCCCCCACAGAAAGTTAGATCAGAAAACAACAAACAGCAGTTACCACTTCCTGGAAGTATCATGTTTTACCAGACAGCTGGCGAGGAGATCAACACTTGGCAGCAGAGGGAGTTATGCGGTCAGGATTCTTTCATGTATCTATTGTTCCCCACAGCTACATATGAGAGTGACACTTCAGTTAAGCTTGGAGCAAGGAATTTGTTTTTCGCAAGGAAAATGGCTAGCTCTTAGTCACGTACTGTTGGCTCCAGGCAAAGGGCTGTATGTTCCCTTCTTGATTTCCCAAGGGGTCTTTCCTGTAAGGACCTTCCTGAAGATCACAGGGAGTGGCCACACACCTAACATCCTGACATTTTTCTACCAAGTCTCATAAAACTTCAGCCGTTTCACGGACATACATGATAACACCATCAACAGGTTAAGGTTCCAACTCCACTGGTGGGAAGGGAATGCGGGACAAGTCACTGACGCCCCCATCCCATTTTGTCTCGGCCATTGAGATAATGAGTAAGGGTGGTTAAGTGATTTGTTCAGATTTACGCAATTTTTGAGTGATTCTACTCAGATCTCAACCAGAGTGTATCTCCAAAGGCTCTTTTGAACTGTACTTATTATAAATCTTAAAAAATAATCATCAACTTTTCCTCTGTAATATATCTGAGGAATACCTCATAATTTCCTAAATAACTATGAATCTGATGGGAAAAAAAATGTTCCTGGTGTATCCTCCTAGAGGTTGTTTGGCCCCTGTGAAAATTACCATTATGCTTCACACACTAATCTTTGAATGACTCTATGTATTTAAAAGAACGCTAGAGAAAAACTCATTACTTTGAAGGCTAGCAATTCAGAATTTGAGATTGTACTACCAACAACTGAGAATAGATTGTACTAAGTGCAGTAATTTGGGCCCAAGAAGTTTAAATGATAATCTTGGAAACTAAGTTATCCAATTAGTCTTTCGTGAAAAATGTGAATCAACCTATGTCCAAATACAAAGGGAATTTTGTGAATTCTTTTATCCCTTCCAAAATTACCCCTTGTAAAAAAGGGAGCACCTTTGACCTTATAAAAATCTTTCAGATTATTTTAAGTCACTCTCTCAATTATTTGATTTAGAACAACAAAGTGTTATTTGGAGAAGTCATATGATTTTGAAATCTCAATAATGCCAAATCAGAATTTTACAAATTTCCCTTAACAGTTCAAGAATAAGAACAACACAAATGACTTTAACATGATTAATTAGTTACTCAGATTATTTTGTGTGCAACATCAAAATATTAAGTGTCATTTGATGATTCATTAAAATCTAATCATTTACTATATTTTTGACTGCATTCCTATGGTGTGGTATAGAATTTCTAGCGAGAGCATCAAACATGTACAGAAACTGCAGAATATCAAACAACTTTAATGGGATAAAACCACTATTACATAAATCCACTGGTGAGCATAGTGATGAAGACAGTGATGTAGTCACGTGAAAACTTGGAACGAGTGGAAAAATATCCTTGGTTTCTACCATGTATTCTTCAGTTTCACTTGACTGCTTCACCCATCCAACTAAAATTTAACACATAAAAGCTGGCCAAGATTTTGGGGGATTTTTTATAGGAAAGAGAAGGGACTGGCATAAACTTGGGCATAGAGGGTGGCTTCAGAGCTTACATTTGTGGCCTCACAGAATCTGGGCCTCACAATGAAACTTGATACCAAAGGGCTGTCTGGCTCATGTTTGAACTTTTTCACTGTGGGAACTCTGGCCCCCTAGGACAGCCCATTCTGCCTCTGGAGACTTCTTTCCCTGAGTGTTCCCTTAGCTTGACCAGCATTCCATTCCGTTACCCACCCACAGCACTGTCACAGCTGCACACATGCTGAGGAAATCCGATCCCTTCACAAATTTGAAGAAAGAGATGTGTTCTCCTGTCTTGTCCTGGTCTCTTACCCTCCGAGTCCCAAAGATTCCAAAGATCTAATAGCAACGATTTTATGTTGAATAACAGATATACGAGAAGGAAAGCTAAGAAAACAAGAAAAATAGAAGACTCGCAATTGAGCATTTTAAGTAAAAATTGAGTATCAGTTACAGTAGCCTTAAAACTCCGTGACTGAGGCCATGACCACCTTTTACTGTTGTATCCTCAGTAGTACACAGAAGACATTTAATAAACATTTATTGAAAGAATGAATTGCAAGAAAATAACTGCCACTTTTTCACTAGTTGTTTAAAACACCTCATAGGAGATGGGCTTAGACAAAAATTGATGGCTTGTGACTATTGCCAGGAAGGCATGAAGGAAAATCCAATAATTTTCCTATCTCTATTCAACATCTATTAGTACACTAAATCTGTGTCTAAATCACATGTATGTCTATCTAAACTATTCACACACACCAATGATCCTACTGGATGTATGTCCTCTTATGCTTATTTATTCTCACTAAAAGCACAAAATACAAAGGATTTTCAGAGTTGTTTGTGAATCTAAGTATTTGTAATTAAGTGAAAATTCAATGTTAAAGAAATAACTTTTTTACTTCTATCCAAAATGTCAGAACTTAAATTGCAGTAAATAGCAAAGCAAACAGACATATTAGGATTTCACATTCCTAATGCCTTGGCTTTTCTCCTTGGTAAACAATGTTAATGCTAAATGAAGTGAGAAGAGAAATAAATTAAAGTGGATAAATAAACACTATAATTTTTGAGCCATTACTGTGTGCCAGTCATGTTCTAAACATGCTTCACATGCAACTCACTCTTCACAATCCAATGAGGCAGCGGTCATCATCCTCGAATTACAGACAACGCAGAAGCAGACAGGTTCAGAGTCTCACCAATTTTACACAGGAGAGTGATGGAGCGAGGACAGGAATCCAGGTTCGTGCCACCAAGGCTTCCCCACACGCAATGTGATACAGCCGCTCATCACGGCCAGGGAAGTCTGTCATACTCCCATGGAACTTGTACATAGCTGACGCACTTTGTCCCTCTTATCAGAAGTGGCCCATTGTAACAAGTTATTCTGTACACATTCACACGTGTGGGACCAATTTTTGGTTATTTCTGTGCCAGAGTAATTCTCATTAAAAGATATGCACATGGTAAAAAGTATGAAATACAAATTATTAAAAAATTAACATTTGTTTAAATTTTTGTTTTTTCATAATATACTCTCCCCAAGTGATGCTATCTTAAAAGAGAAAGTCTTGAGGCTTTAGCTCCCATTCTACTGACAATGAAAGTCAGGGGTGGTTATGTCCAAGATCACAATTTAGCACTTGATCAAGGACTCAATCCAATTATTCTAACTTTAAACTCTGTAATTAGTATTTTAAAATTCTAAGGTTTTACAAATATAAAATATATCAAACCTATGAATCTTGGATTCTTCATCTATAATATAAGGGGATGAGATTACAATCTGGTCTCTCTGAAGTCTGTTTAAACTCTCAAATTCTACATTTCTATAATGATAAATAACTTACAATTAAATAAATACAAGGAAACAACGCTCAGTGGAAGATGAGCCTCGGCCCTCCTCTTCGTTGCACAGAGAACTATTCACGTCGTAAACAACCAAAAGATAAAGAGTAAAAATAATAAATGATTACATATGTTTTCAATTAATTTATTTTAGAAAAACAAAGGTTTACAATTGGGGCCTTAAGACAGGGTATCATGCATTCAACAAGTTAGTAACACAGACTTTCAAAAACCTTTATAGATTAGGCCAAAGTAGAAAATTATTTTTGCCCACTCTTGGACTCAGACACATTCAGAAAAAATATATATTTATAAAAATAAAATGGCAAACCTAATCCCACCAATTAATTGATAATCTTAACATCTCAAACTGTTTATTTGAGTAATTTCTGCATAATAAGAATAGCTGAGTGATTTTTCCCTATCCTACCTCCATATCATATGAATCAATGGTGAAACTATTTAAATTACTTTTTGCAAAATCCAAACCAAAAAAAGCCCCTGAAATAAAACACAAAAAACATCAACCACAACAAAAAACCACTAAACAAAAATAATACAGCTAGCTTTTAACTACTCATATACACCCTTCCTTCAGCCTCTAGACATTTGGCTCTTTATGTTATTTTCTAAATCAGATACCAACAAGGACTATGTGTGAAGACAAAAACAAAAATTCCAGGTCTAATTCACCTCAAATAAGTTTCAGATAGCAGTAGCTAAACAAATATTAATGTACACAATGAAACAAACAAAAAGATTGCAAGCTATAATGGGGTGTGCACAGCTTGATAAAAACATGCACTTTCTCTCTGAAATATCTTTAAATACTGTGTGAGCACCAAATCCAGCAAGAACAAGCATCTAGGATTTTGAATTTTAGAACTTAGCAATAGAACTCTATTGCAACTGAAAGAGAAGGCAAAACTCCAACTCACGGAAGGATATTCCCTTTACTGAGATGTAATAAAAGTGAGAGTCATCAGTGAATTAGGATGATGATGATGTTCTTCTATCAGATTCCTTAAGAGATCCTTTATTCTGAAGTAATTATTTTTCTTCTTTTTGGTGACAAAGATTTGCCGTGAGCTAAGGTCTATGCCAATCTTCCTCTATTTTGTATGTGGGACGCCACCTCAGCATGGCTTGCTGAATGGCGTGTAGGTCTGCGCTTGGGATCTGAACCGGTGAACTCAAGGCCGCTGAAGCGGAGTACATGAATTTAACCTCAATGCCACCAGGCTGGCCCCTGAAGTAATTTTTCCTGAAAACACCATCACCAGTAAGCTCTAACAACACACTAAAGGGAAGAGAATTCTAGTGAGCAAAAACTTTAAATGTGCTTTTTGAGGAGTCTGACAACATCCTAAAGCAGAAACAAGTAAAAAGCAAAAATTTTAATACAAAAAGGGAGAAATAAAATTTTTCACTTGCACACCATCTACACATTGTTTTCCCAATAGACACACTTTGAAAACCCAAAGAGCATATGGGGCAGCAGTATGGCGTTGTGGAAAAGATAACAGAGCATTAGGCCTTAGTTTATAGACACAGGACTCTCAACATAAAGCTCATGGACCGTGTGGCCAATACACACTGAGTTTCACTTTTTCTTCTCTCTTGATGTCTTTCATTTACAGGTGATGCTTCATGAGAGAGAGAAACATGCAGCTGACAGACGTCAGAGAGTGATAAATGCCAAGGAAACAGCAATGACACTCCTACCACAATTCTCTCCCGTCTCTAGCTAAGCTTTGCCTTCCTTACTGGATGGAGACTCAAGCGCGGCTCCTCTCAGCCAAGGTGCTCGAACTGCAAAGCAAGCTTGGCCACTGGGAACACTGGCATTTATCTTCCAGAAGAATCCCTCAGTCCTCTCTGGAGAGGCCTCTACTTGTTACACTAACAACATTTATCACCAATTTACATTTAAGAGCACTTCATTCCAGTATTTTCTGAAATTCCCTGTGGCTGCATATCTGCTTCATTATTAAAAATAATAATAATGGGGTGCCAAATATTAAGAATAAGTACTCATTATATACTAAAATAGTAGATAGATACAATAAAACAATTACTGAAACTCCTTAGAACTTAAGATATGAGTTTCAGTTCAGTCGTGATCAGCCTGGCACCAGAAATTAAAAAGGCTGCCCTTAGAGATCAAACCACTAAACAACTTCAGTATCAGGACCATGAATTGTATTTTTAAAGTGATTAAACATTTTCTTTTTCTTTTTTTTGCTGGGAAAGATTTGCCCTGACCTAACATCTGTTGCCAGTCTTCCTCTCTTTTATTTTTCTCTCCCAGTACATGGTCGTATACTCTAGTTCTAAGTCCTTCTAGCTCTTCAATGAGAGCCACTGCCACAGCATGGCTACCGACAGACAGGTGGTATGTGGTTCTGCGCCCAGGAACCGAACCTGGGCCACCGAAGCAGAATGCCAAACTTTAACCACTAGGCCATCAGGGCTGGCTCTGAAGTGATTAAACATTTTTAAATGTTTAATAAAATCTTTAATATTGGATAACTCAATAACTCAATGAAAAAACCACCCAAATAAAAGTTACCTAATAAAAATCCTAAACTTACCTAAAATTACGGCTTCAAAAATAAACTAATCTACAAAACACACCATACTATTACTTAAAAAAGAAAACACAACTTTTATACATTACTTGGGGTAGAATTCCTGTGTTATTTCATTATGGAGAGAAGATGAGAGGTCACTGGCCTGAAATGGCTGACAGAATTGAGTGTGGAGAAGGTAACTGGCAGGTCTCTTTAGTCACTGGACATGAATTTAGTTGACAGGCGGATTATGTCACTTATTACTCATTATGAACAGAGACATGGCCATAATATTACATAACAGATGTCAATAAATTTTGTACGTATATATGTATGTCTGTTTATATATACATATATACACATACACATCAGATCATAAGTTACCATATAATAAACATAAAAATATGATAAATATTACTTTTTAAAATGTAGCAGGAGCTTTTTATCAAAGGAAATTTTTATAAGGAATCCAAATATATAAAATAGAAAAAAGGGAGGCTGTTCTGGCTAAAGCAGGGCAGGAGTGACAATGACCATCCCCTTCCTGTAGTGACCACTGAGACACCTGCTAACAGTGTCCCGGGGCTGGTTTGAGGTCACTGCTCCAAGTAAATCCTGTTTATGTTTCAAAGATTAAACATAAGACTATTTTTTTCCCACTGTACAGGCCCATATGAAAATTTTATAATGCAACTGAGTATAAAGTTAAAAAGTAACATTTCCTCTCCTTTAAAAATAATAACAAAATAAAATCACTATGCTATATAAAACCAAATTATTTTTAATCTCATAATATTAATCTGTGGAGAAAGTTACTAGTTCTCCTTAAAGTGCCTAAATTTTAAAGACTTAATTTTGTCCGTATAAATCTTATCCAAAATATATGAGGGGAATGGATGGTAGGAGGTGGAGGTATTATTTTTCTCTATCAAACATGTATCTTCTACCTGACTGACCAATTTAAATATTCTGCCCAAGAATCTTAATTTTGTCACAGAATATTCAGATAGAGAAACATGCACACAGAACGGATCTCTTATGACAACATATGCAAGGTAAACTTTGATGGAGTGCTTTGATTTTGTTTGTTTTAGACAAACATTTCATCTCTTTGCTCCAAATATCTCTCCATTTATGGAAGGACTACTTTAACCCATGCAGTGGAGATTAGCAAAATACAAATAACACGTTCTCTTCTGTAAAGATCATGATTAAATGTCTAAATTCAATAAATAGACTCTGTCGTCATTTGAAATCCTATCAAACATTTTATACTAGTGAGTCTCAATCCTTCTTCTTTTCCAATACATCTTTGGGTTCTTGCACTGCAGGCACTGGCGAGTCCCCAGTCCTTGGCTCCTGCTGTGCTTTGCTCTCTTCTATTTGTTCTGGGCTTTCAATTTCACTTCTGGACACTTCATAGCGTTCTTCTATATAACCTCCATCTGCATCAGCTGTGTAGATTCCATAGCACATGATACTGATGACACCCAGTGGCAGGCCAAAGAGAAAGCAGCCCATAAGTGGAGAGCTCTTGAATATAGACTGTGGAAAGACAATTACAACTCAGTTCCCCTCAGATGTATTCTAATATAAAATACATAAATGAATTTAAACCACTACAGATTTCTTCCTCTTGCTGCCATCCAACATGCTTTTAGTTCCAATGAATCAGTGTCAGTTTTTCTGCAGTAATTATCATGTTAAAGACATCATAAGAGAAATTTTATATTTGTGTGTGTGTAACCAGCTAATGGCACCAAATACTCTATAACCTTTTCTAAAGACATTTATTTTTCTCACATTATCCACCAAGGTCTCTTTAAAACAGCTGCTATGTGCCCAAGAGGTTTAGAGTTGTATCCTGGGCTACAGGAATGTGCTCACTGAGAAGGCTGGTTATTTACCATCATGAAGGTGTACACATATTCTCTTCACATGACGTTTTTAATACTTTTTACTTATCTCCTTAGGAGTAAAGCCACATTAACTTAATAATTTCCCTCAGGTTATATTCTGTCTCCTCAGCTCCCAGGAAAGTCAAAGCAATTTCAGTGAATAGGCTTTTCAGCTATTCTATGTCCTATGGGTTGAGACTATAACCCTTGATAACTACATGGATAAATCCATAGGAGAGCGAGATCACTCCGGGTTGAGGTAATGGAAGAGGCCTTCACAGAATAAAGGTGTTTGCAGGCAGCAATTTAAGCTTGAGAAACAAGGCAGGCCAAGGTACAGTGTGAGCACTAGCAAGAAGCACCAGGGAAGCTCACACAGGGTTCAAAGACTGAGGAGGAGAACATACATGAGATGAACAGAGCATTCGGATGTGCATCACTGGAAAAGAGAAGGCAAGTGCTCAAACTGATTATTTTAGAATACTAATTGTGTAGTAGTGTGCAGAAGGGATCGGAGACAAAGCAAGAGGAAACTGAGTGGAAGCCAGAGCAAGAGACAGACATAATGTGATAAGAGCCAATCCACGTTGGTCGCTAATAAACTGAAGGGTGCAGGGAACAAGTCAAAGATTATCAGAACTTATTTCTCACCAACAGAAGAAGGTTAGCTCTATTTCAATGACTGCTTTTGGCCATAATGAAGAAAAATACCCAGGGAGTAGCTCAAGATAGACAACTAGAACTAAGTTTAAGGCTCAAACAAATTTAGGAATGCCTCTGCCATCAAGCTGATTGACAGCTGAAGGTGGGATGGTAAGGAAGATTTCCTAGAGTTCTAAGCAAGAAGGGTTCATGAGCTTCAGACTGAAAAGGGCAGAAGGAGGAAAGACACTGTGAAAACACTTTACGTCACGCTACCAAGTTAGCTGATTCTGAATTTCAGTTAACTCATCAGCTATACAGAAACGAATAACTAGAAAAACTTAATTTCCACCTAATGAATATATTTAATGTAAATATGGACTAGTTTTTAACTTGCAAATTAAAAAGACACGTTTTTACCTAATCCTTTGAAATTCCAGATTTTGCCTTAGTTAGACATAAAGAACCTACATATTCTCAAATATGAATGACACTAAACAAACAGTCACAACTTACCACAATAGTAGATTTGGCATCAAATACTATTCTTTTCAATCTCTGCAAAATGCTATCACCTCCTTGGGCCTTAAATGTCACAAGAAGAAAACAATTAAATAGTTATTTCAGTACTATCACTTCATTTTCCTGTTACATAACCTTACAACTGCAGGTCAAGAGCTGACTACAAAAGGTTACTAAAAGCACCTGAAAGAGCCATGTAGTAAATATTGACTGTTTCTTTCCTGTCCCTCCCACCTTCTTTCTGCTTTCTCGGGTGATGCCCTCTGATTCCCCTCTGAAGAATTCATCCTCCCTGTCCACAATCCAGGCCGAGTCCAGGTCTGCCCCATTTTTGAGTTTAGCTGAGGTTGTTAAACTAAAGTGGCAGCAGGATATCTTTGCTACTGTGTAGGGAGAGTCCCAGAGGATGAAGCTCAAAAAAGAAAAAAGTGCTGAGAGGCAGGGAGAGAAAAATGCCTGATGAAGATCAGTCAAATCCCTGCTCTCAGTCATCCCTGAAGTCTGGCTCAGTCCTTCAATTTCTAAGCCATATGAGCCAGTAAGACCTCTTAACCATCAAAGAGTTTGAGTTGGGTTTCACTAACTTACAGATGTAAGGGTTCTCACTCATACAGGTGTGTTTCATTTCAACAAGTGCTATTTTCACAAATAGAGAATACCTCCTATGTGACTAACAGTGTTTCAAAGCAGAAATATCTGTTACTCTGTGAGCCAACTTTCAAATAAAGTTTGTGTTAAACTGAAATAAAAGTCTCACAAAATAATAATTAAACACAAAAAACAAATTAAGCACAGAAGTCCCATCTTTTCTATTTTATTCTAGTCTATTGAATTGAGATGCATGCTGGTCACAACCTGCTCAAGTGATTTCACAACCCTCTAACATGGGTTGTAACCCACAATTTGAAAAACACTGCAGTAAGATTTACAGAAAAAAATAGAAAGTTAAAACTATGCTTCATTATTTCTGAGAAATATTTTACAGGATTATATTTGGAACTCTCCATTGGGACTCTGATTCTCAATATATTTCCTTGTCTTTTAAAGAAACTATGGTCTTATTCACAGGTTCTCTTAGAAAACCAAATCTGAATAACTTAATCCAATTGTCCTCTTGAGCCCAGAAAGGTGCTAAGAACCAGGAAGCTCACTGTCAGGGTCCTTGTACGTGGCAGACCTCTCAGCATTGCCAGCCCCGACTCTAAATGCCAGCAGCATCCCCCAATCACTGTGACAGCCAACAACGCCCTCCAAATAACTCTTAAGGAGACATTTCCACCCCTGAGCAGCCTCTGCCACAGAAGAACCTTCTATACCTTGGAGAAGGTGACAATGTCCATGGAGTGAGAGAAGCAAGGCACCGCAGCCTGCCCTCGCCTCAGGGGATGGTGACTCTCCCGTTCAGGATCAGAAGAGCTCACTTCTCTACCTCCTCCCACCATCCCTTTGAACTGAAAGTGAACAACTTACTTCCACTGTGCCATCCAAAATGTTATTAATAAACTGGACCATGTCTTCGGCATTCGTAATCTGTCTGTCTAGTAAAAAGTATTGTTGGTTTGAAGTATTCAGTACAACCACAGTTGGGACTTTCAATTCACTGACAATAGAAAAACAAATCAAAATACCCATTAACACAAACAGAGATAACGAATATTCTAATATTTATTTATGTTATATCTAAGTAGCTATAATTACAAAAGAAGGCAGCTATATTTATAGCTTTTCTTCCTTTTGCCTATATGAAGAAAATTTCAAATGGTGCATCAATTTAGAAAATAGCTAAATTAAGATTATAAGAAAAGCATTTAATATACAATATTAGACAGCTGAGTATTCACGGTTAAACTTAAGGATACAAATTATTATGTAAGAAGTATCAATTTCTGGGCCATATTATTCCTTGCCACAAATTTGTTTTAAATACCATCACTGCTAATCACACAAACCCACCTCAGTTAAGCGGTACTCAGGTAACTAGACAGGGAAGAGCATGGTCTCTGGAGTCACACTGCTGTGTTCAAATGTGGAGCTTTCCCATAATTTACTTTTTTAAGCCTAATGTTTTTCACTTATAAATGAATAAAAGGTGGGTGGGGGCACCTATCTTGTTATAAAAATTAAACGAGAAAATTCAAGTTAAATATTCACTGCAGTACCTTATACATAATACAGGTTCAACAAATCCTATTCCAAATTCTCTGAATTCCCACTATCCATCTATATATTCCACCTCATCATCAGGAAGTAAGTCAGTGATATAGCAGACATCAATTCAATATGTCATTTAATTGAAATAATTAAAACTTCTTCTTTCAAGGACAGACTTCTGCATCATCATAAAAGGAGGGAGCTTAATTCAGTAAGTCACCTACACGTCAGTTCATGGTTACTCGTATGTCTATGTGAGAGTATTATGCAAAATCACAAAACTCTACGGTAGAAACAATTTACACCACTACGTTATCACTACCTGAATTCAGTAGATTACTGTATTGCTCACAATGCTGGATCCCTCTCCATGCCACGCCCTTTCCCAGTGAAGCAAAACATGCTCATCTGACCCCTGATGCTGGCTCGGCAGTGTGACATGGTCAACGGAAAGGTAGCAGAAGTGACAGAAGCAGAGGTTTGAAATGTGTATGTGTGGCTGGGCCTGCCTTCTTGTGTTCCTGCGACTGTCATGAGAAGAATGTCCCCCAGGAAAATACCCTGCTGGGATCAAGAACACGGAAGACACGAGGGAGTGGACCTGAACCTAACTGGCTGTTTGGAGCCACATCTAGCTGAGCCCGGCCAGGGTGAGCCAAGCCCAGACAAGCAAGACAGAATAAAGAATCACTGTTTTAAGCCACTAGGTTTCAGGGTTGTTTATTATCCAGTATTATTAGGCAGTAGTTAACTGATTGTACAATAAAAACATGTTAGCTTCGTTCTTATTCATAAAAACACCACAGGCAACTTTTTGATTTATAGTAGTTTACTTATTAGTTATCATAAGGCATGAGTAGCAAAAAAAATCTTTTTATAGAATGAATTAGAACCTTGCCTTGCTTTAAAAATATATCTTATGAAGAAGTTAAATACACAGTTGAACTAGAAACTATCTGTTTTGAAATAATTCAATCTGAATAAGGATGGAATGTATAACATCTGATCCTATCCTCTCTTAATTACACTCACAAAAACCCAAAACAAAATAACTTAGACCAAAGGTCTGATAGTATTTTATTTTGAGAAAAAGTAAAAACACATAATGCTGAAGTATAATTATCTTACATAATATCATGTAATTGCCTTAAGTTAGAAACATTTTAGGCATCAATACCTAATAAATTCCACTAATTTATGTGTCAATATTAATGCTATGGTAGTTAAGAGCTTTTGCAGTAAGAGAGATCTGGATTTGAGGATGGATCTCTTTAACTTACTTGTTGGGCATCCTTTGGCAAATTATTTAACTTCCTTGAGTTTCTTCTAAGAAATTTCAATTTCCTCATCTATATAAAATGGAGATGATAATAGTACTTACACCTTAGTGAGTTATTGTAAAAGTTAAAAATACACATTGACCACTTAGTCCAGTGCTGGTCACAGGGTAAGGGCTCGATGAGGACTTTCAATTATTATTATATAATCATCATTATATGCCTTCTCCCTTCTCTCAGAAAAACCATAAACAAAATAGGAATTAAAAACAAAAGAAAACAATACAGGGTTGGTGGTAGAGACTGTTGTTATTCTCTGACCATAACTGTAGCTCAAAATTTCTACCTGACAACTCACATTAGAAGTGACACTCATGAAGGAATATCCACCCATCTCCAGACGTTCTGCATATTATCCTGTATCAAGGAGTTCTTCACTGGACCCAAACTGCTTTGGCTTCAGGCAACACTGTTTTACTGAAGCACTGTATTGACTTGCCAAAAGGACACTCTAAGAAATGAGTGTATCAAAGTGCCTACTATACATACTGTAAAAATACACTCCTGTGTCAGAGTGTCCCCTGTTATGAGATTCTATAGCACAGCAATTTCTCTTAGGTTTCTACAAGGTCAACCATACTCCTGTAAGCAAGTTATTTTATAGGCAAGGGAAAGGTATAAATAATGCTTTTTACTTTTTCTTGAGTATTAAAATTTTTTCAAGTACCTTTAATAATTGCATAGATCCTTTATTTTATTTTCATTTGTCTTGATTTCTTCATTATACATTATAGCTGGCACTTTATATATTTTATATTTGGTAAACCCTCTCAAGTCCTTATTGGAATAAGAGGGATAATACATTGAAGATAAATGAATAAAGGTAACACTACAATTTCAGGCTTTTAAACGAAAATAATGAATGTTACTCTGGGTTTATAAGTTTTGCTTTTATTTCCCCAGTGTTCTTACTTGAAAAATGGAAGACACTAATTTAACCTAACACACTGCAACAATGATGAAGGGATGTGATACACCTATGCTACTAAGCAAAGCTAAAGAAGACCAAAATACAGCATAATGTTGCTAACTAACTTTACCTGGGCCCTCAGTGCCGCTGGACACGTTCATCTGTCTCTGGCGAGCATTCCCTATCTTCTCCTCAGGGGCTTATTTTAAAGCTCCACCACTCTCCTAAGCCCCACGGTCCTATCACTTCTTGTGTTGGCTCTACACTCAGCCTGAATTAAGCTCTCTGCACTCTTCATTCAGCTAATTTCTCATTCTTCAGAACTTCTCTTAATTACTGCCTCCTCTGGCAGGTGTTTTCTAAGCCCCTCCACCTTAGCATGCACTGGGGACTGGGGTGGGCGTGGGAGTCTCTATGCTTCCAGAGCTTTCTACCACACAGACTTTTTCACACAGTACCATAATCAACATGTTGTCTTACCCAGCAGACTATAAGCATTTGAAGACAGGGACTCTAATTTACTCATTTTTTGCATCAACAGTGCCAAACACTGTGTGTAACATACATAAAATACTCACCAAATGTCCACTGAGTACTCAGAGTAGGTTCTTATTTAAAATTTATTAATTCAGTTTAGGTATGGTAAACGTTATTTTAATATCAACTTTCTGAAGTGACAAATCAGATCTTTACATCATAAACACAATCGATGAAATTATATTAAAATTGCATATTTTTCCGACAAGGTTATTTCAGTCTCTTAAAGGTTATTTCAGTCTCTTAAATTCAATTCTTCTAGAATAGCAATTAATTCTTGAATGCTAAAAATTTTCTATTTAAGTTACATTTAGTCATTAAAACTGAACTTAAAGTGTGTATTAAACAGAAACTGCAAAATTCACAAGTTTCTCAACGATGTCTTTTCAAAATACTATAAATCATTAACAGTGAATTGAGAGATAAACTTTTTTTAGGATAGAGCAATATTAAAGTTCAGTAAGTTTCAAATAGAGACTTAAAAACTAAAGTAAAATATTTAATGGGAGAATATCTGCATCAGCAGATCCCAAAGATTTGTCTTTTTCAGTTATTAGTCCTTCTGGCTATCTCAAAAACAGAAATTTAAAAATTGACATCAGAATCATTTAATCATTTAGCACTTTACTTACTCCATCAGCAAGGTATTTATATAGTCATTTCCATCCATATGGCCAAACTGAAAATCCCTAACCAACAACAACCAAAAAAAAAAGACAGAAAAAAGGTAAATATAAAAAACTAAACTTCAGGGCTTAGTAAGCATGTAAACACTGTAAACGTTTAACATATAAATCATATACAATAAATGTAGAAAAGAGTGTGAATTCTTCTGGCTTTGAGATGCACATGCACAGGTTCACACAAATTCTAAGACATTTCTACTTTGTTTACATGTACTTAAAATGCAGGACAATATAAGCTTTTCTAACTAAAACATATTTAAGAAAAATTACCCACTTACTCCAAAAAAGGACTAATCAGAAAATGTTGACACTATGTTATAGGAGAAATATAAATATATATCACTGATACATCATTAGAAGACTCAGAATAAAAATGGAATAATAATTAAATAATATAACAAATTTATATTGATTGTCTCATGGCAGCAACAAACAGAAGGATTTAGCACTCAGCAAAAATTTCACTTATTTTTTACATTTTATTATTCTTTGAGTTCCTATCGCAATCATTATCTGTCCATATCTGACTTGTGATTGCTCACGTGACTTTATTTCAATTGTGTACGTGCACATTTTCCTACCGCAAACTTATCCCGAATCCTATCAAGTATGATACAAATTATAAATAAAATATATACATATTTTTTTACTTGTAGGACATTTATCAACAAATTTCAAGTCCAGATAATTCATACTGAAATGCAACATGCTGTAATTCACCTTAGCTCCCTTTATTTACCTTTGGAAGTATGAAATACTTCTTTTGCTTTACTATATTATAAAACATAATTAAACAATGACAAAGGAATCTTCCAGAATGCAAGCACCTACCTGTGGAACTGGTCTCTGTAATCTCTAGCAACTTCCTGAATAATTGACTTCAATCTGTGGAAGAACAAACACATGAAAATTTCATCTCTTCATTTCAAAAATACAATTATTCAGTTACAATACCTGTGGCCCTGTCTAATACTGCAGGAAAAGTAAGACACTATATCACGTTTATCTGAAGCCATGTACAGTCTGAATTAGATGATATTTGAAGCATAAAACTATTTCAAGGCACTATACCTGGTGTGTTCTGTTGATGTGTTTTTCTCATCAATTACTGCAATGGCCACTAGCTTCCCTGAAATTAAGAAGGACAAGTCTAGATTCAATAACCCTTATTACACAAGCTTTTCAATTATTATTGTAGCTGTCAACAGGGAATTAGTAAATAGTGTTTCTAGAATTTAATTCCAATTACCCTCATGTCATACTTAGTAGAGTCAATCAGTGAATTAGGTAACTCCAAGGGTTAAGTTCCTTCCTACCTTCCATCCCCAAAATGTAAATAATAGCAAATATTTAACAATTCATATACTCAAATTGTATTTTTTTCCACCTAACCCACAAACTGACTAAAATAAGTTATTTCATTAAAAGCTAAAACCATAAGGAACAAGCAAAGAAAAGAAATTCACTACTAATTACTGTAGCTCTAAAAGAATGGCACATAACAAGAAGAAAATGATTTTTACATTGCTATTCCCTTCAGTACCATGGGTCACTACCTGCCAGTAACAATAGGCAATATAAAATTGACTCCAATTTACTTAACCTTAAATAGAACATAATTCATATTCATCTCCGATATCCTCCAGGAAGGCAGCATGACATAATAACCAAAGCACTGGTACTGGAGTCAGAACTCCAGACACTGCACTCCAGCAGCGTCTCTGATGTTCTAGGCCTGGGAGAACAACGGTGAAGCGCCGTCATGTATCAGCTATGTGACTTCACCTCAGTAAACAACTTATTTTAGAACCTAATATCTATTTCAAAGGTATTGCGAGAGTTGGATGAGATTATATGCTCAAAAACATGGGGTAGTTTCTGGCTCAGAGTAGGTATATAAATGCAGGATTACATCAACAGTCTTTCAATATCATCCCCACATTTTAATGCTTCTTCCCTAATTCCATACTGCTTAAACATATCTTTAAACTCTACACAATCTTGACTGTTCTTTTAACCTTCAGCTAGAAACACTAGTTCACAATGATTATTTCCATTCTAAAAATATTATTCATGTTCAATGTTGGGTTTTTTATTGTGCTTCTTTAATTTTCCAGTGCTTCATGAGCTTTTTTCAAAATGCCTACAACATGTAAAGCATCTTCCCACAGGCCAACACAAGCGGTTTCTCATGTATTAATTTCACAATTACTGAGCACCAAGCAACGTACCCAGTACTAGGCTAGCTCCCAAGCACAGGGAGGAGCACACGCAGACACAGCTCTGCACTCGAGGGAAGCACAGGCTAGCAGGGAAGACAGTCACACAAACAGATGGACGGTTAACAACTAGGAGCGTTCTGAAGGAAAGGAACGTGCTGTTGAAGAAGAGCAGTACAGACTAAACTAATGCAGTTTGAGGGGCTCAGTAAAAGATTTTCCTAAGGATGCAATATTTGGTCTGAGCTTGACAGATGAATATAAATTAATTACACATTTCCAGGTAAAGAAAACAGAACATATAAAGGTGCTTTGATGCACAGCACAGGGCCCTTTGAGGAAATTAAATAGTGTGGCTGGAGAAGGAAGAGGCTGGGGAAAGACTCAAGGGAAATAAGACCAGAGATTCAGGCAGGAGTCTGAAGAGGAGAGACCTGAGGTCAGCAGAACTACGGAGAAAAACACCAAGTGTCTGAAGCCACAGAGAGCCAGGAGTCCAAAGCAGCGCTTGTAAGATAAGTGGCAGATGCGATGACCAGCAGGACCATGGCTGATACTTAACAGGGGCAATTATGTTGGACACACAAAAGGAATACTGTCACTGCCAAATTCTTTCCAAATTTATCTGGGAGAAGAAATTGAATAGAGCAAAGCTGTCTATTTTAATTACCTCCAGGTGTCTCCTATGATTACTGCACTGAAAGCAGAATTACAGTATCCTTACATCTTTCCCACCTAACTTCCCGTGGGCCTGAAAGAATCAGAAGGTAAACCCACAATCTTTGGCAGTATCCATGTCAACTTCCAATACTAACTCTAACGCACGCCTCCCTCTGTAAGGAAAAGCAAAGGCAGAAACATCACCAGACATAACGCATAAAAAGCAGGCTCGGGAACCAGAAATGGATCCTAAGAAAGAGTTACAAAGTGACAGGGGGATGTGTTCAAACATTTCTAACTTGTATTATTAATCAGATTCAAGATCAAGAAATCATGAAAAGGAAACTCTATACTCATAACTTACATAAAAACTGAACCTTGGATAAAGTTTTCCCATTCTTTTCATGTAAAACTATACTGCTATCCTGCTTATCATAAAGCGGTGAATGGAAGCAAATGTGGCAACAGTATCTATGATTCATCTCTCATTTGTAACTCATTATAAATTTACAAAACACTCCCTCTTAAAACTTACATGATTAGCTTCTTATAATTTTTATAGTTTGCATCTATTTGAGACCATACAGTTAGCTTCTTACAGCTTTCATTTTTGCATCTATATTTGCTTTGCCTGTCATTTTCAATCATGTAACTTTGAGAAACCATGCCAACTTGATGCCCATATTTTCCTCACAATTAAAAGCAGGCCTTAAAAGATTGTGATAAGTTGTAGTCCAACTCTTACTAAAAAACCAGCCTTTTTAGTATAGCTTCCTGGTTGGTTATTTTTTCTCATTTCTTTATTATTCAGGTTCTGTTTTCCCTGTCACCATCAGTTCTATTAGTAAAACGTCTCTATTTAATCTCTGATCCACACACAAAGGTATATTCTTTGGCAGTATTAATCTACATTCTCATAAAGCGGAACTGGCATTCAGGATTGAAAGAAGGAATAAAACTATGAATTAGATGTTAAAATTCATTTCCTATAGAATCATATTTAAATAATCAATTAAGGAAAAATTCTACAGTGATAGAGTCGTATGCATGCTTGTTACCAGTATCTCCAAGTTCATACAAGAGGAAACCATCCACTGTAAGATAATTCTGAAACCTCTCCCTGCTGATCCAAGATGACAGATCACCATCTTCATACTCTTAAAAACAAAACAAAGTTGATAAATTGTACTGTAAATACGCCTTTAAAATGTTTATGATGTTCTAACCTAGCAATATGCATAACATGCCTGACAGAGGAACATAAGCTTAAATTTAAAAATTTTATTTTTAGGAATCTAATCTAAGCAAACAATCAGATACACAAAAGGATTAATGCATAAAGCAATTCTTCACTACAGCATCGTTAAACACAGCAAAAAGATAAATAAAAATAAAGGAAATAATTGAAATATTCTAAACATGAAGTAATTTAAATAATTATGGTACATATGGAAGAAGATCGTTTATAGATTTTTTAAAAAATTGTAATAATTAAGTGGTAAAGCAGGTTACAAAACAATATTACAGCATGACTGTAACTTCATAAAAAATTATGAAAAAAACTGAGAGAATGATAAAATGAAGGCATATATATTCCTACTAAAGGGTTATCCTGGGTTGATAGTTATCCTCGGATGATGGCATTACAGGTAATTTTTCATTAGAATTGTTTTGCTCTTCTCTATTTTATGACATTTTTACCTCAGTTTACAACCCTCTCTCATATGTAAAACTAACACAAACACACATATAAAGCCATAGTATTTTAGCCAAAAGTAATCAAATACTTCTGCTAAGTAGCTAGAAAATATTTATAATATCCAAGAGAAATAGTATGTCTTGATTAGAAACATAATTCTGAAGTAATTCTGAAAAATTATTACAACTGCATGAAAAAGAAGCTGACTAAAAGCCTACCAACATGTCTGGTTGAAGACTGGATTTTACTGATTTCTTGAAAGATGTGCTTTTTCTGTCACTTGCATTGCTAAACAAAACATTTTCAAGTTACCAAACCTATAAAATAAGTGATATAATGCAAATTTGAAAGTATTTATGGATTTGGATTTACAAATTAGAAAGACAAACACAAAACCAGAAGTTGAGATTATTGGCTACACTCTCCACTCGAGGTCAAAAGTAAATTTTCTAATGATGGTACAAAGGTGATAAATCTTAAACTCACTGGAAAATAAACTACCCTCCTGAGCCCCTACCTCAATGCTTCTACACTTAGTAACTACTAAACATTAGAAAAAAGATTCAAAGGAAACCCTGTGGCGTATGTGAAGCCTTGGAGCTTGTTCTAAGTACTGACAGGTGCACATTAGAAAATGCCGACCTTTACGACAGCTGTAGATGCTTAACAGGTGACTCCTGTCTTTCTTACTGACAAGCCACCACATTTGAGGAGCGGCACGTTCTTATTCTGCTTAACCAATACATTTAAGTCTAAACAGATATGATCAGGTTTTTTCCAAAAAGAAATCAAGTGGCTCTCTGAGTTGTTAAGAAACTCAGAATAGAACTAGAACAAGAGGTTTGAAAGCTGAAGCTTGATTACACCACTGACTGTTTTAACTTGGAAAAAAAATCTCTTTAGTCCTGTTTCTTTATTAGTAAAATAGTAAGAATACTGATCTCAAAGGATTGTTGTAATCATCAAATAAGACAATATACACTAGGTGCTTATCATACTAGGAGTGTCATAATCAAAGAGCATGTGGCTGGAATCCGTGCAGGTATGCATTATTTTCCTTCTCCTATTTTCATATATGCAAATTTCACTTAACTTCCTTTTTAAGTCCAATGTCTAATACAGACATTCAACAAATATTCAAAGAATGAATGAGTGAGTGAATGAATGAGCAATGAACGAACCTGCGACTTAATTACACATCTATCTCCTTATCTAACATCCCTTAGTTCTCTCCTTTGTAACCTCAGGATATTCATCTATCTGCCTTGCTACCTACCTCATAGCTTATGGGGAGGATAAAATGAAAATATCAAGTTAAGTATATAGTTTCTGCTATATAAAACAGAGCAAATAAATGGAAGTAGTTATACTATAGCAAGAAATAAAATTCAGTCCTCACATTTATTTAAAGATACTGAAAATACAAGATTTTAGAAATGCTTTGTCTTCAAACATGACTGTCAAAACAATTAACATGTTCCTTTTATTAAAATGAAACAACCAAAATATCCTTTTATTAGATCTTCTTCTATTCATTAGAACTATTGAAGTAATTCAAACCCTACAGCTTTCAAGTAGTTCTTCTTTCTTTTCTGATATAAAACAACAACACTCTAGAATGTTTCTGCAGTGAATAAAATGTTCCACATCTGTGCTCTCCAACACGGTAACCAAAAGCCACACGAGACCACTGAGCATTTGAAATGTAACTGGTGAGAAGGGGACACTGAATTTATTTTGTTAAACTGTACTTCAGAATGTCACCAGGACTGCTATGAGGCAGGACTCTGCATTGACTTTTGATTTTGAGTGGCTGTGTAGTGTCCAATGATGTCGAGTTTCACTGTTTCCCGTAAAATTTAAAACATGTCCTGGTGCCCCTGTGAGTTTGCTGCACTGCCCTGAGGTACCTCAGAGCATAGTCTGGGAACTGTGGGAGTAGATAATGCCAAGGAATTGTTAGTTTTGTCATAAGAGCATGTGGTTATCTAAAAAGAAAGAAGTCCACACTTCTTAAGAGATGTATAATGAAGATGTAGTGAGAGATGCATAATGAAGCATACAGTGATGAAATGCCACTGAGATTTGCTTTAAAATACTTGAACAAAGAAAAAACTCACTGAAGCAAATGTGGTTAAACCTAGCTAACCGCCTAACCTGGGTGATGGGTATGTACGGCGGGTTTTATTATTTTAGCATTTTCTTTACAATGATGTATGTTTGATATAACAAAAATATCTTAAACATACACCAAGTATTTGCTTCAACGAAGCAGTGTTGAATAGCAGGTGAGTGGTTACTGCTGTCAGGGAGAGAAAGATGGAGCTGGTAAAGAATATATTGGGACATCACCACTATTGAAGATATTTTCTTTCTTTACCTTTCTGTGTGTCTGAAATGTTAAGTCTTTTTAAAAATTAATTTAGAATAGTTTAAAGTAATGTATAAAAATTGCATAGGGTTCACTTCTCAAAAACGCAAATGACCTGATTAAAAAAAAAATTCATTGTAAGCAAAACTCAGAATGAAAGAACACTAGATGGAAAAACTAAAGTTAAAGGGTAAGAAAACCCTATCATTCATTCAACTAATGGGAATTGTACGCAGTAGCTGCGTTTACTAAATTTTTCACCAACATTTAAGTCTTACAATAGACACAGCATTTTAAGATGTTTTATAGGAGTTAAAACTTTGGAACTTACCATCATAAACAAAGTAAGTTTCATCTTTGAAAACAAGCACAGCAGGCATCTCTTTCAGTGTCACATACTGAAAAATAAAAAGTATAAATAACTTTTATCATCACAAAAATTTCAAGGGGTTGGCCTGGTGGCATAGTGGTTAAGTTCATGCACTCCACTTTAGTGGCCAGGGGTTTGTGGGTTTGGATCCCAGGCACAGACCTACACACTGCTCATCAGGCCAGCTGTGGCAACCCACATACAAAACAGAGGAAGACTGGCACAGATGTTAGCTCAGTGACAACGTTCCTCAAACAAAAAGAGGAAGACTGGCAAAGGATGTTAGCTCAGGGCCAATCTTCCTCACCAAAAAAAAAATTTCAATTGGTAGCTGTGATTTCAAAAGTATTGGAAGATACCAGAAAAAAACCACAACAATAACAAAATTGTTACAAAAAGTTAAAAAGAGCACAATCAATCTCAAACTTATCCAAGGATTAGGTCTGCTATCTCTTTATACATCCTCTGGATGTGCCCTGTTTGCTATGATGAAAACCATGGAATATTCTCAGAGTTGATAACATACCAAAGATATCAAGGGAGGCAACGGATAAAAGGCACTCTGAAGTGGCAGAAGAACAGGGGGTACAGTATCAGTCAGCACAGGTAGGTGCGAGTCCTTCCCTCCCTACTCCTGGGCTGCGTGACAATGAGTCCATCACTTTACCTGGGGATTCAGCCTCGCCCTCTGTACAAGGACACTGCGCCCCCACCTCACAGGGAGTCAGACCCATTAACACACATGAGAGCAGGTTTACACTGTAAACTGCTCTATACACGGGAACTCACAATGGTAATTAGTTACAAGGGATTCATTCAGGAGGTACCTGCTTCTTATACCTGTGTTGTAATTATTTCAAAGTAGTAAAATTATAGTAGAGAAATCAGTATCAGAGCAGAAGAGATATAGTTTGGGTAAACCACAGAATTATTACACGAGTGTGGTAATACTGAAAGCAACAACAAATAAACAGATCAGTAGATAACTAATAAAATAAAAATGACAACAATAAAATAAAAACACAGTTGTCCTGAAAAGATTAAAAAGTGGGGCAGCAGGGGCCAGCCCAGCAGTGCAGCAGTTAAATTCCCACGTTTCACTTCGGCAGCCTGGGGTTTGCTGGTTCGGATCCCAGGTGTGGACCTACACACTGCTTGTCAAGCCATGCTGTGGCAGGCATCCCACATATAAAGTACGGGAAGATGGGCATAGATGTTAGCTCAGGGCCAATCTTCCTCAGCAAAAAGAGGAGGAGTCGTGGTAGATGTTAGCTCAGGGTTAATCTTCCACAAAATAAATAAATAAAAAGTGGGGGAGGCATATCTCAGGTAGCACAGAACGATCTGGTTACATTACTAGTAAAACTTGGTACAGCACCATGAAAACAACTATTTTCAGGGCAGTGGTAAAGCTCTCAGGTGAGGTTCTATCATCAAGTATGCCTAGATTCATCTGCTCTTGGCAACTCTTCCACAAAGGTGCTTCAGAAGGATTTTTTAACCTTCAGCATCTCTCTCTTTCAAGAATATCCCTGAGTGGACCACACTATAACCTTACTAAATAGCTGAAACCTGGCAGCCTCTATTTCTACAAATTCTGAATCTCTTCTCCCCTTTCCTGGGGTTCCTTTAAACTCACTATCTTATATTACAGTTATTTGTCTAAATGCCAATCTTCTCCATTCATCTTTAAGTATCCTGAAGTCAGAAATTGTCTTAATTTATCTTTACATCCCCTTGTTACACTTACTGCGTTTTTCATAAATACTACTTGTAAAGCTAAGGAAGTTTTTGCATGACCAAACATTAAAATTCAAAATATGAGAACACAAAATCATGGGCTTTGTCCTTATTTGAGAATTTTCTATGAGAGAAAAAAATCCCCATATTATTCTTAAATAACTATTATCCTCCCAGCAGACTTCTGCAACCACATACTCAGAACTAAGAAGGAGATGACAAATAATGATATTTGCCAAAATAATTAAAGAATGCTTAAAGAAATTAGTTGAGAAGGCTAATAATAAAAATAATACATAATAACTAGGAAGTAGGCCCATGTAGCAGATGCTGTTTGTGCCCGCCCAGATGTCCTGGGTTCTTGGATTTTGACCTAAGACATCCCATCCTTATATGAGGACTGAGATGGTGTCTGGGCCCAGAACGCAGCAAACCCTCTGGTGCACTCCAAATGAAACTGCTCGGAAAGTTTCGCCGATGAGAGTGCAGTATACATACCCACCTCTAATACGAAAACGTGGTCCACTGGACTTAGGAGACAAAAGTGGATTAAGAGTTCTAGTTCTACTCCATTATAGGCCTTTAAATCACATTAAGATAACATTCCAGAATAGTGGTTCATAACTTTTTGGGGCATCCGTTGAGAATCTGATGTCAAGTATGGCTCTTCTTCTATTCCCTCCCCATCAAAAGTAATGCACATACACAGAATACTGCAAAATAACTTCCTACACAAACTAAGTAAACCTAAATGAGTTTAGGCTCACCAGAAATTATCTGCGATTCCCCAAGGAGCTGAAAATCATTTTAGAATAATTTTATATGATAAACATCCATGTACATTTGCAGGAGCATTAAACACATACTCTAGGCAACTGCGTAATCTTCTTCAAATATTTAACCATTAACAAACATTGAACAAAAAAGTAATCAAATGCGTAATATGACATACCTTTGTGAAAAACACTTGTTTCAATTTTTTATAACTTAGACTGATTAAAAAGAAAAACCTCCCTTGATTTATTTCATATTTCAAAGCCTTCAGCTACCACCAAATTTTTCAGGTCCCCTTCTCAGTAAAACTCTTCTGAAGAGAAGTCTATACTTGTGGGCTCCAATTTCCTACCTGCATTCTCAAATGACAACGAGGCACCTGTCCCCATTATGCTCAAACTGTTTCTCTTAAAATCACCAACAACCTCCATGTGGGCAAATAACATGGTTACTGTCCCCTTTTCATCTTGATCACTTCGCAAGCCTCTTACACAAACCGCCACTCCTTTTGTAAACACTTTTTTATCTTTCCACTCATCTTGTTTTCCTACTTCTCATTTTCCTTTGCTGCCTTTAGTCCTGGGCCTTCTTATTTCTTTATAAATTTGCATCCCATGTCTAAGAATTTTCTCTGTACAGCCTTAACTCTAGACCCCTATATCCAACTGCATATTTGATGCTTGGACTTGGATGTCTAATACAGTGAATCAAATTAAAATGAACAATTCAAAATTCTTGATCACTCCCCCACTCCCCAACTTGTTCCTTCCACAATATTCCCAAGCTCATGAATAACACCACCATCTATCCAGTTATTCAAATCAAAAACCCAGGTGTCATACTTGATTCATCCCTTTCCTCCATATCAGCAAGCTCAAATAATTCTATCTCCAAACGCAATAATTCTTTCACTTCTCCCCATTTCTCTTACTAACCTCCAAGCTCAAACTTCCTACATTACTTCAAAAGTTCAACTGTTCTCTCTGGATCCACTCTCATCTCTATCCAATTCATTCTGTGCTTAGCAGAGAGTAATGTCCTTAAAATGAACATGACACCAAGTCCAACCCACCATATGCATGGCCATGACCTGCAAGGCCTCCACTGGCCTCTGTCTACCTCCTACTTGCTTTCTCACTGCATTAGAGCCACACTGGCCTACTACACTGTTCCTCAAATATACCACGCATGTTCTCATCCTGGGCATTTGTAGCATCTGTTCCATTTCTGATTTACTCTGGCCACAGATCTTTCCGTGGCTCCTTCATATCACGTAATTCAAATATTTTCTTCTCAGACAGACATATCTTTATCAACCAAGCTAGAGCAGCCATTCCACCTCTAAATGTCCCTACTATCACATTACTCTTTTATTTTTTTTCATAGCAGTTATGATATCCTATTTATTGATATGTTTACTGAGGATCACTATCTCAGTCTGAGGACCCAACAGAAGACCTCCCCTGCAACACTAAAATTCAGTCTACTTCCTCCACCCACGAGAATGTAAGCACTATCCTATCAGGATTCTGATGACCTTGCTTGTCTTCAATTATCCAGGACTTAAAACAGTGCGCAGAACATGATTAGAGGATAAGAAGTAGTTATTTAATTTTTATATATATATATTTTATTATTAATACATATTACACATATTATAATATATATTACTTAATCCACTATTTATAAACCAATTTAGGGTTTGAGGTATCACTTCTCACTACAGCTTTTAAAGAGAAAAAAACCACTAAGGTAATAATCATAATCCCTAAATGCTATGAATCTAGTGATATCTGCTTATTAACAATAGGCAAGCTGGTACCAGCAGCAAAGAGTTAATGTGTTTACTGTTTCCAGACATATCACAGTAAATAAATCTGACAGATAAAATCAGCAAATAATTTAAAAAATGAAATTAAGTCATTAAAATCCAATTTTAAATATTACCTCAGGAACCACTTCTTCTGAGGCAGAGAAGAAGTATGTATATACAATTAATTCTGAAGCAGCATCTATGTATTTCTCCTGTGAAGACACAAACAGAAAAAAAGTGACTTTCAAGTATCAAGTAAGATCAAGTCACTCCTCATTAAACACTCACAGCAAGTAGTATTATCACTAAGTAGCATCAGCACGATTTGCTGCCTTGAGTCCTTTTTTGTGAAAAGATGGAACATAAGCAAATGAAATAAATTGTGTCTATGGCAAAAGGCCATTGTAACTAAGTGTTTCTATACTCCTTTAAGTGAAGTTCATTAAGTTCAATATAAGCTCAATTCATATTTATTCATTTAATTTGATGATTATAGGAAGAGATATGTGATACGCACACACACCTACATAAACTAATCTTAAGACAATGATGTTTTGCCTTTAAAAAGTTTACACTCAAATTGCATTTTGCAGTCTCAAAAGCTCAAAACACTAAAAAGCAATACAACATTTAAATAACCAGATCAATAAGAGAAGAAATACTAAGGCAGGCAACATCTATCCACTTTTTACTCACTTCCGTTTCACGAAGGCAAACACCATAAAGACTATATAAGAAAGGATTTTTATTATAAAAATACTTAGATTGAACTAAAGTGTTTCCAATAAGAGTGAAGAAATTTTGAGTTTTTGGTGAAGTTTTGGCTATAGAGATTATTAAATTACGATACACCTGCATTTGCAGAGTAAAAAAATAAAATCATTTGATACCTTCAAAGGTGACTCTCCACCTATATAAACGAAAAATACACGATGTCTCTTCTGCACATGTTCAAACATTTGCTGACTTGGAAGTGGCCGAATCAGAGCCCTGTTTGAAAACAAAACAAACAAGCAAACTTGCAACTGAACTAAAGATAGTACACGATTTACTCCTATTTATATGATAGCCTACCATGTCTAAAGTTATAAAGTTTTAATGTTGCATTAACTGCATTTTAAGTGTATCACCCAATATATATAAATCTAATAAAACTATAGCCCCTGATCACTATTATATCCATATAATAAAAATATAGTACCCACAATTTAATTATTAGTTTAAAAAATAAGTTTCAAATACATCCCTTTAGAGAGTACCTTAGCCAATATTTTGACAGGCAAAAACAGAACTATAATCCATTTAGAATCCTCAAATCAAAACAAAACAATCCATATGAGAATTATTTTTTTCTTCCTTCCAAAAGATCATTCACATAAACACACTATGAAATACTATCCCAGGAGTTTATAACACTATGTTAAGAATATTTATGTATTACTCTGTCCATTTAAACGTGATAAAGTTTTAAAATACCCTATAGAGGTTAAAACCTAAAATGTTTCATAAGTATGTTGTTCTTTTCAGAAAAAATAAAATGGAAAACAGTAGTCGTAACAGTCCATAAGAACCTCACAAAGAGCAAACAAATCGCAACAAAGAGTTTTACTCCACAGGCATATTTTAAGCCAAACAGACTGAGAAACGAAGTACATCAAAGGCTACTATAAAACACACCACTTACACAATATTACCAAAAAACTAAAAGAACAGGTAGCCTTCTTTTAAATGTGGTCTATATTATCAGACGTTTACTCCATCAAATTTGCAAAAAGAACAAAACATACTTTGCAAAGGCAAAAATATTTTCAAAATGCACAATTCTTTAAACGCATTGCATCACTCTACTCTGGCCTCTATTCAATATTCCGTAATTAACTGGTAAGTGATGCAACTCCAGAACTGACTCTGCAACTTCACTTGCTACAGTCACCCCTAGTTACATCACGAGAGTTGTCTGAGACTTAAACTAAAACTCAATTAAAAATTGCCAAAACATAAAGACGAATCTAGGTCATGGGGAATAACGCACACCCCACTAGCAATCCCCTCATATAAAGTTATCTCAAAATTTATTTATTCACAAAGCAAATAAAGAAAATGAAATATGCAATGAGAAAATACAGTAAAAATTACATTAATAAGCTTTGTAAACTTTAATATATAAAGATTATTCCTATTCTGTGCCTGTTCTCAAATAATTTAAGCTGGATAGTAGCATGCCACCCAACAAATCCACCCCGATATTTCAATGTACCTTAAAGCTAGTTAAAGCTATCAATATACCCTGTAAAGCTCATAAGTGCCTGTACTTTCAAAGTCAACACAGGTTAAGCCACGTTGATAAATTTTCTCTTCAAGAAGTTCCACATAATCACACTAAATAAGCATCAACTTTCTTTAGTTCCCAGCAAGATGTACATTAAAAAACATCACCACATTCAAACTGACAGGAAATGCTTACGGAAGAATTTCTGTCTCCTTCTCAGTAAAACCTCAGAGATCCTTAAGGCAAACAATCTCTGGGTTCCACTTATGCCACAGACTAAGCAAAATGTGCAATAATACCTCCCAGTCGGCATAAAGCAGCATGTGATAGATCAGGTAAAGCATTTATCTACAAAGCATTCTCCAGTATTGCAGGCGAGGGAGGAAAACCCAAGTCTATCCAGAACAACAGTATGAAGTGGTTTCCCTGAAAACTCTGAAATTAGGTAACATGAAAAATAAACCGACGTAAACTAGGCAGTAAAAAAGCAAAATTATAATAAAATAAAAATTAAGATCATAAAATTGTTAGAAGTAATATTTTGAAAACGTCTTAAAAATTCATTGGGGGAATTCTTCTATATACTAAATGAATTTACATGTGAGGTAAACACGTATATAACACAAATCACAGTCCCTTTTGTTTCTTTAAAGGATCTCTTTGCATATGCTATATAACCCTATCTTTTCTCATAAATAAGTAGACAAATTTTATTTAGGTTAGGTCCCTAAAAATATATGTTCGATATGTCTATTAAAATACATTTAATTTTCAAATATTAATATTATTACTGTAAGTATTAATATTAATATAAATCCTAATATTATACAGTAAAGCCCTTTCCTAGTAAGAACTTACCCAGATACTCTGTGAGCAAACTCAATAATATCATTTTTAGTTCGTGGTCCTCTATAATTATATGCCAAGTCCCCCTTTAATCTTAAAAAGAAAAAAAAGAAGGATAAAAGCTTGGATTATTTCAACTGTTTTAATATTTAATGCTAATCACTATTATTACATAAAGTTATAGTACACAGTTAATGCAGAGGAGTTTTACAAGCAGCATGACTACGTTAAACACAGTAGGCAACTGGCTTCAAGGGGGTAACAACTCAAAATATAAAGAAAAGGTTCTATTTTATTAAAATATTAATATTTAATACAAATATTTATTATTATATTTATTAATATATTAAAAATATACAGAGTAAACATGAAAATAGTTTACTCTCTACAGTCATGCACCGCCTAACGATGTTTCGGTCAACGACGGACCACATATACAATGGTGGTCCTATAAAATTAGTATTATATAGCCCAGATGTGTAGTATGCTATACTATCTAGGTTTGTGTAAGTACACCCTACAATATTCACACAATGACAAAATCGCCTAATGATGCAGTTCTCAGAAGACATCCCAGTGTTAGGTGATGCATGACTGCATTTGATAGTTCCATGTGTCTGTGCCTTCTGAAGATGGAATAATTTACACACTCATCGTCAAGAGCTAGCCAAAGCATTATAATTCTCACTATACTTTAAAAGGTAAGTTAAAGGGTAGGGAATTAAATGTATTTTGGTAGAGGTAAAACAAATTTTAAGCAATACAATATCACAGTAACTTGACAGATGCTGCAAGACTACACAGTAAAACAATGCATAAAAGCACTTCTGTTAGAAAATTAGATAATTTTCCAAAAGCCTGCCAATAAATTGTGTCCAAGTAACTGAGATTTTAAACAACAGAACATTTATAACTAAGCATAGGAAGAGAATGGATAATTTACTTAACACAAGAAAGTAAAAGAGACTTAGCACTTTCAAAAAGTGGGGGAAGGAGGGAGGCCAACAGCAAACCCAAGAAATAAAAAGTTAAACTTAGTCAAATTTTGAAATTTGATACTTTACCACTGAAATAAAAACTTATTTTACTATAAAAATAAGCTTCAAAGTAATTCCTCAACCCCATTACCAAAGTAAGGATGATACCGATGAGAAAATTCAATAAAATCATGATTCTAGGTCCTTTAGAACTATCACACCATTTCTCCCAACTTACACACTCTAGATCAGACTTGATCAGCAGGTACTGATTAGAATTAACATTCATCAGTTTGATTCTCTTCCTTTCAGCTCTAATGAAAGAAATCTATTTTAATTATAGGAAAATAAAATTTCTTAGGAGGCAAGATAAAGCAGAATACACTCGAACCCCTCAAGGGTAAAAGCCCTTTCATAATTTACAACTGTAACCCTTGTCCTGCATGGTGCCTGTCGCACAGTAAGCACGCAAAACATGTTTAGTGAATTAGCCATCAACAACACATTCACTTAAATACAAAGAAAAGCATAAAGATATGCCCTCTCCTTTGGCCACATACTGCACCTAGAAAGCATTGCTGAACCCAAATCTTCAATCCTCCAAAGTTACTAGAAATTAATGTAATAAAACGTAAGTAGAGTGAACTAATAAAAATACACACATAAACATACAACACTCAACTTACAGCTTAATTGTTGGATAACCTCGAACTCCAAACTCTGAAGCAATGCCTTGATAAGAAAAAGAATAAATAATTCTAAATTTTTTAAAAAAATGAGAAACTAGGTAATAAATGCGCCTTTTACTTTAAAAAATATATATTTATACAAACCCATTTAGATATGTTGTTTTTAAGTCTTAGAAAGAATATAAACTCACACACAAAAGAGAAAAAACATCATTATTTCCATACAAAACAACCACTTAATAATCCAACCTATGGCCTGCACAAAGCACTGACAAAATATGAAATGTAGAAAGAATAGTTAAAATGTTATCTCTAAAGTACTTATTTTAAAAGGTATTCTTGTTAAAATACATATATATATAAATAAACTCTCATTTCTCATTTGACTTCATTTTCCAGGACAAATATTTCATCTAGATCTCACTGACTTCTCTTAAAAACAAACAACCGGCAAAAGCCCATCTCTTCCTTTAGTGTTTTCTGAGGCTTAAAAGAACTGTAGTGTATTTTAATTTTAAAAACATAAATGGTATTTACAAAATTAATTTCTGCAGTCAATATATGATCTAAAAGCAACTTGACTTGTGTTAGAAGTTTCTGCTTTTGTAATAACCTAGAATAATTCCAATTGTCTCAAAGAGTATTCTGAAATTTTCACATTAATTAAAATAAGATATAGTTGCTACAATGGCATCTTTTTAAGGGAAAGAAGAAACGAAAATAGAAACAATCAAACAACAGAGAATTAAGACTTTAAGAGGACATAAATCATATAGCAAATTAATCCTATACTGCTTTCCAGATTCCAGGCAACTAGAACAGGAAATAATAAAATATTCTTAGTTTATAGACAATATACAAAATATCTACACAACTATACTACTACATGCAAAGTATACGGTATTTATTCATATGAGCACTCCCTTTGTCGATTTTCTTTATTTATAGGATATTTTCTTACCACAGTTGGGTATAAGAAAACTACTTCTATGTACATGGGTTCTGGTTTACCAATGACTTTAGTAATCATTAATCTTTGCTTTCTCATCACTCCCCACCAATACACAAGAATGATGACAAACTGAATTGTCGCCAAATAATATCCCAAATCTCTCCGCCTTGCTTTGTCGCTCTAGAGCTCCTCTCTTAAACGTATGGAGACAGGTGACCAAAAGGGTCTGGAGAGTGATCAACACTGGTTTTTATTAGAGGCAACACAAACAGCAGAGGTAACAAAAATAACTCAGGTTCTGAAGATACAGGTCCTATCTTTGAATATTTGTGCCCATCTCTAATTTAGGACTTAATTCTGTCTGCTACGTTCTAATTAAAGACTGCTATTATTAAGACTGCCTTCTTGTCAGTAAAAACATAGACATGAGGGGCTGGCCCAGTGGCATAGCGGTTAAGTTCACGTGTTTCACTTCAGCGGCCTGGAGTTCATGGGTTTGGATCCCGGCATGGACCTACACACTGCTCATCAAGCCATGCTATGGCAGCTTCCCATATATAAAATAGAGGAAGACTGGCATGGATGCTAGTTCAGGGCCAATCTTTTTCATCAAAACAAAAAAAATACAAACACAGAAATCATTTAGGGGAGACTATAAAGTATGTTCCTAATGCCCCTCTCCCCAAATTAAGGAGGCAGGTAAATACAAACCCTTATTACCTTCAACTAAAACTCATTAAAAACTGCTATAACATAAAGACTAATATAAATGACTAGAGAGGGCAGTATACTGCACTAGCAATTCTTTATACAGTTTACTGTAGAATTTCTTTACACAAATCAAATATAGAAAAGGTAACATGCACTCAATGAGAAATGCAGTAGTGGTATTTTAAAGCCTGATGGTGTAGTTCTCATGATAGGCTTCAGAGAGGGCAAAAACAGCTCCACACTTAACCCTAGCACTTAATTACTTGACCTCAGTTTTCATATCTATAAGACGGAGATGTAGCATACCACCCACTCTATGGTCCCTTGGCTCCTTGAGCATTAACCTTCATTTCTGAGATAATTTCAACTGACAACAACTTGTAAAACTTCAAACTTAGGTTTTCCTAGAGGAAAATGGTTGTATAATAATTTTTAAAAAAGCACAAAAGCAAAACATGGGTTACAGACAAATAATGACCCAGGTCAGGATTCCAACTTCTCCATTTATTACCCATGCAGCTCTGCATAAGTTTCTTCTTTTATTCTGCTTTCTCTTCTGAGGATACCACTCATCTTGAAGGGCTATGGGTGAGATTTTAAAATGAGAAGCATGTGGAAAAGAATCTAGCAGAGTCTGGCAAACAGAGATCCTCTAACACCGGGTCCCTTCCTTTCTCTTCTTGATCCTAATTTCATCTTTAGGTGAGTATCTGCTGACACATCAATGTCCAGATAATATTAACAAGAATTACCATGTTAGAATATCTTATAACTGGCTTTAACATCCCTTCAACTTCACCTCAAAACAATATTGTGAAGGGTGAAAAGGGTGCTAATGCTATTTTTCCGATAAAGAAACTAAAACTTAGGGGGATTCGGTAACTTGTTTGAGAGCAAGCATTGATTACGTAGCAGGACTGAGACAAATTCAAGTCTGAGTTGAAATGTTTTGTTTTTTTCACATATTAGAAAATAATATTAGAAAGAAAAGAAAGTGTTTAGAAACCTAAGATCAATTCCTTCATCAATTGAAGAATCCATTTGTAACAGGCAAATAACTTCCCCTGAAGTTTTGTAATTTTAAATGCTCATAAAATGAGGTCAAACATGAAGCCCTAGATTTCATTTCTCCTTGAAAATGTTAACAACTTGATGGTAGTGACAGACTTGGATGTGAATCTTGGTGATCCTGGATTCTGGGCCTAATTCTGCCTCTAACTTTGTCTGAAATTATTCAACGTCATTTCACCACTGATTACCTTTTGTGACTTCATCTACACAACGGGAGGTGGGAAGAAGTAAGGGGTTGGACTTTATCTGAAGTCCTTTTCAGCTCAAAATACTATTTTTCTTAGTATTTACTGAGTGTCACTATGTATCTAACATCAAAAGGAAATAAAATATAGCAGTGGTTCTCAACTAGGGGCAATTTTGCCCTCCAGGAGACACGGGGCAATGTCTGGAGACATTTTTGCTTGCCACAACTTGAGGAGGAAGAGAAGGGTGCTACTGGTATCTAATGGGTAGAGGCTAAGGATGCTGCTAAATATCCTACAATGCACAGGAACCCCTTTGCCCCCAAAAAACAAAGACTTATCTGGCCCAAAATGTCAGGGATGAGCAACCCCGAAATACAGACACTGACCAAAAGGGCTTATAATCTAGAAAGGTAAAACTAATTTGCAAATATAATCTGTGAACAAGAAATCAGAATAAGAATGTTACTGGCCAAACATTGTTGCAAATTAATACATCAAAGAGAATGATTTATCATAAAATGATGTCATACTTAGGTGGAGGAATAAACAGAATTTCAGTGGTTTCATAACGGAAATCAGTACACCATTACAAGTAGCATCATAACATATTTTAATTTCCAAATGAGAAATCATTTTAGTACTCGTTTTTGAAGGGATATGTACAAAAGAGGCTAAAATATATGTCTGAATTTACATTGGACATTATACAACTTTTTATGTTGATAAATAGTATTATTAGTTAAAACCACACATCATGAAATTTTTGGTACAATTCCAAACATACAGGGTAGGATAAATCATGATAGCTCAAATTTCTCTAGTTGAGGAATTCTATACACAGAGATTCATTGGACTGAGTGTGATGGCATTTGGTCCCAATCACTGCAATTCCATGATTGAGAAATACACTACCCTCAAATACTCTAGATATTCTACATTTCATCACTGAATAATTCTATCCCACCCCAAAACCAAAATCCCATAAATAACTACCCATTAAAATAATACTTTACTTTGTGATTCTCCAACTTAAGTGTGCAGCAGAAACACCTGAAGTCCATGCTAAAAATACAGATTCTTATGACCCAACCTCAAAGACTTCATTTGGTAGGGCTGGTGTGGGTCTTCAGAATCTGAATCTATACTGGGCACCTCAAGTAGTCCTAATGCAACTAGTTTGTAGACTAAACACTGAGAAAGACTGATGCTGTGACTGCCTGAAAAGCGACTTAAGGGGATAAAAAAGATACCCATGCAACAGCTAATCTTTTCGTATTCTATAGTTAGGCCTAGAATAATGCTGAGAGCTAGCTTGAAAAAAAAATTCTATTTCTTAACTGTTTGATTCCAAGTTCTACTAAAACGCCTGTATTGGAGCTGTTTTGAAGTATTTAAGGAAACAAATCTATTTATAATCCCTAGACAGTAGTTTTTAAATACTTAAATTTTGTTTTAAATATTAGGAAGATAACATTCGTTTTCTCCGTAGTACATAAAACATCTCCTTGATTCTATAACAAAGTGGAAAATGCATCAATCACTGACATCAAACACTAAATAACACAAACTTACTTATGTTTATTGGTTATTGTTTCTCTCTGCCCACTAGAACATAAATTCCATGAGAGTAGAAATTTTTGTCTGTTTTGCTCATGGATGTGTCATCAATGCCTAGAACATGCCTGGTACATCCTGGCATATGGTAAGCACTTATTACATATCTGCTGAATGAATGTTGACTCTACAGCTCTTTGGCAAAAGAATAGTTTTCCAATAAACTATGCTTACATGATTCAAGTAGTCACAAGGATTTACAAGCAAGCATTGCCATGCAGGTTGGGCTATGGGTTGGGTAAGTAGGAGAGGAAGTTTATTCCATATGAAGCACCTAACACAATGCTTGGCAGAGGGCAGGCCTCAGTACATACCAGTTCCCTTTCCTCTTTTCCCAAAGCCAGATGCTTGAGATAATGTGCTATGCATCCTCTATAGGTGCGTTTTCCTCCTATTAATTTAACATAATGTATTACACAATGCTAAGAGAACACGATAATCATCTATCAGAGGCAAAAATTTAAACCTCTTAATGGTTTATGAAAAGTGAATTAGAAAAAAGTCCCACCATAAAGTACCTAAAAGGCTACAAACTGTATATGAAGTCTTAAGTCCTGAAAGAATACTATTGCTTTTTAATCACAGTATTCAAAACACTATCTCCTCTAAGGTACTCAGGAAAAAAGTCTTGGCTATTTTTTCCCAAATCACAGTGCCACTTAATAAATTGTGGCACACAGGGGCACTTAAAACATACTGAATAATAAACTAATGAATTAGATATTATAAAAAAGAATGTGACTTGCTGTAAACTGTTATTATCACTGTAGCATCACATAAGTAATCCATTATTTTTACTGATTTATAGGTACTACTATTCTCATTGATTATGTTTCTTCATACTTTCACATTCCTTTATACATTATTTTACTTTATTATTCCATTGAATGATTCAAGTGGTCAAAAGAATTGCCATGTGTAAGACTCTACTGCACTTGTTGGTTCATTCCTCTTTCTCCCGCTATTAGACTGTAAGCATTTCCAAGACAAGAAGGATTGTTTTGGTTTTTCTTCAATCTCTAGAGACTAGCACAGCGTTTGACAAATAGTAGTTAGTAAATATATACTGATTGAGTGAATATGAATGGATGACTATATGAATAAATATAAATGTATGCGTATGCATGTCTACTGAACACACACGTCTAGACACAAGAAGTTACTTTCATGAACAACAGTTTAAAGGCGTAATTTCTTAAGCATTGTTAAAAGTTTATTTTAAGAAATGCCAACTCAAGCATATTATTCTCACCCTCTCTCTACAATAACTTCCTGCCACTGATCTTTTCTCCTCTCAAGGTTCTAACAATTCATTTGAGTGACAATAATTCCAGCTCTAACATCTCACCTGCATGCTATTTCCCTATTCCCAAACATGCATAAAGCAAAATACTATAAATTCAAAACAGCTGCTAACAAGAAAATGCACACAAAATTATTCTTTTCCATATGACCAATAGTAGTGTTGTTCAGTAACTACGCTAAGATTCTTACATGTGACATTATTTTCGATTATTCTTCTTTATACCAATTTATCACATGTGTGATTTCACCCTTGAAAATGCTTCCCCTTGACTCCACTGCCGCCACCCAAGTCTGGGCTCCTAGCATCCTACACCAAGATGCATACAAAGGTCAACTTAGATGATCTTCTTGTCTCTAACTGCTCTTCTTTTCTACCCTATATGTTGCTGCCAAAAATATTTTAATCAAGTCATTTGCCTTTCTCAAAAATGTGTACTACCTCTCAATTGAGAATTGATAAAATCCAAAACCCTCTGATCTGGGAGGCCCTTAAAATTTGGTCTTACCCTGTAGCATCTAATATGTGCTAGCTATGTGCCAAGGATTTTGAACACAAAATATTAATACAATCCTTACAACCTTGAAGATTATCACTGTTCTGTTTACAGACATGGAAACTAAAATTAAGAGAGGTTAAGCACTTCCCCAAAGCCACAAAAGTAGAACATGGTAGAGCTGGGATTAAAACCTAGGTGTGGCCTGGGCCAAAGTTGTATCATGAGTACAATACTGATTTCCTAAAAAGAAATACACATTACATACTTCCACTTTCTTCATTAATTAAAAGAAAAAGGAACTAACATTCACTGAATACTACAAGGGACTTCATATGTGCTACATCATTAAAACCTCAGAACAGTCAATAAAAGACACATTACAAATAAATATCTACCAATGTGGACACCAAAGCTTAGAGATGTTAAGAAATTTTCTCTGCGCTACACAGCGAAAGTAGCAGGCAGAGTCAGCAACTGAATCCAGGTCTCCTTTCCAAAGACATGCTCTTTCCACATTTCTAGGACACATCATACTTCTCTAAACTTAATTTCTTCTTTTCTCAAACCCTTTCAGATAGGCATTAGTCAATCTTCTCTGTAAAGGGTCAGATAATAAATATTTTAGGCTTTGTGGGGTATACAGTCTCTGTTACAACTAGTAAACTCTACCATTGGAACACAAAAGCATCCATAAACAACAGTGAACAAATGAGTGCGGCTGTGTTCCAATAACTATAATTACAAAAATGGGCAGTAGGCCAGATTTTGTCCATGGGCTGTAGTTTTTTTGCCAACCTCTGCTTTGAGACATTCTATTCTCTGGTACATACTTATTAAGCTCATTCTTAACTCTAAGATTTCGCTCTAATATTCTCTCTAATGTGAATATTTTTCTGATCTTCACTTGTATTTATTTCAACTCATCTTTCAAGTTCCCATTTACTCCTCTACTATGCCGTCACAGGCTACTCAGACAACAAACCCTCAATCTTAATCCACATAGCAACATCAAGAGTTTAACAGTCAAATTTCTGTATTTATGCCTCAGGGAAATTGATTATCTCAAGCGGGCTCAAAGTTGGAGGAATGGTTTATACTTCTTTGTTAGGCATACAATTAACATATACTGCATATTTAACATTCAACAACTAATTCTTTAACTGTAAAGTATACAGTCTTAAATTATTAAGAGAACTTTAATTTTACATAAGCAAAAAAAACCCTTCTTACCTTGAATACTGTTTCATGTAATTAAAACATTTTCATTATGAGAATGGTAAAATAAAGTGAATAACGCTTACTAGAATAAGAAGTAGCATCCATCTTTCCAACTTTAACCGGAGAGCCAATGCTTTTCATCTCAAGACCAACTTCATTCCAAATCGGTTCCAGTTTTTTACAGTGGCCACACCATGGTGCATAAAACTTGTTTAAAAAAAAAAAGATAACCACTAAAATGTTGTGTTACTATGGATATCAATCTTAATTTTTAAAGAATCTCTTTGACTAAATGATCTGACAATAATCTGTTTTAGATAAAAAGTCTAATTAAAGTGATTATATAATCAAAGATAAAACACACACACATAAACCTGGATAAGTTTACTCCTAACATATTCTCAACACTGATACTTCTCTAAGTTCATTTAAGATGACTGCTGATACCTACTTAAAATAGAGATATGGTTTACAATAAAAACATCTTTGCTTCCAAGTGAGTGTGTCTATGATATATATAAAATGAAACCACTAAATACACATACACACATCATATGTACACCCCTTAAGGGTTAATGAACAATATCAATCTACTTCTATTACAAAAATTCCAACACAGCAGGTACTTTTGCTACTTTAAGCATAACCACTGGTAAGACATAGGAGATCATTAGGATGACTGGCTTGGGATAGGGACAAGTCAGGCTGCTTAAATGAAAACCACAGCTTTTCCTCCTGAATCACCAGATGACTGGGGCGGTGCTTAGGTTTCTCTAGTGAAATGGTGTAACAAACTGCTTGTTGTAGGTTCATGAAATGAGATTTACCTATTTTTCAACATTATACTATGGAAATGTTGAAATATACACAAAAGGAGAAAGAAAGAATTAAACAATGGGCCCTCATGTCCATCGCCTGGTTTCAGTAATTGTCAACTCTGCCAGTCCCACTTCATCTCTTTTGCTGCCACTCCACTTCTTTTTCACTGAGGCACGTTAAAACGAATGCCAAACACTGTGAAGTTTAAATACATTCCAAACTTGAAAGTGAGGAAAGGAAGATGAAAATTTGATTTTGTTCACTCTTAAGATGAAAATATGATTTTGACTGCCAGGTGATATTAACATACTCAATCTCTAGGATAATATGAAAAAACAACATAGTGAATTCTGTTATAAAATCATAGCATAATCTCCCTCAGACATAAACCACAAGTTGACCTCATCAAAATTTCATCAAAAGCAGTTCCCTTGCCAGGAACCTTAAAGCTCTGAGGTTGATTTTAATGCAAAGACCCAAAGAGTACTACCTAAGAAAACACATTAAGTAATATACATAAGCACTGATTGTATATTACCATGTTTGGGCGGAAAATAGAAAATAACACTTACAATGGGAGGGGTGGTTAATGAGTACAAAAAATTTACATACTCACATCTACAAGCCAAATGTCATCTTTTCGACTGTCTTTAAACCTAAAAAACAAGAAAACAAATCTTTGACTGTATATTTCCACTTTGCAATTGAATAGTATAGGTGGGGATAATAAATTGATAAATATAGGAACATGGAACAAATTCTTTAAATAAATTTTTATGTAAAAGTTTTACTCAGTGACCTCTAAATCTTAGCAATTAAACATCTTAATAAAAGGAGAGTACTGATAAAGTAACCAGGAATAAAAGATCCAAAAAAATTAAAGTGGGACTTGGGAGAACCACAGCTATATAGCCAGCTCCTAGCCCTCTATTCCACTTACACCTGTACATTAAAGTTAAGAGCAGGCCTGAGGCTATCCTTAAAAAGGTCTACTGGCAAGACTGGCCCTGAGTTGGCATCTGGGAACCTGAATTTCAGGAGGGCTCCCACCATTGGTCCTACACTGTGTAAACAACAAGGTTTTGTGACAAACAGCTACGTTCCTTCTGGGAATCTGAATTTTGGTACAGGTTAGGCAGAAGGGTGCTTTCATGACCAGCTCTCAATAAAAAATCCTAGCGCTGAGTCTCTAAGGAGCATCCTTGGTAGATAACATTTCACACATGTAGTCACAACTCCTGATGGACGAATTAAGCACATCCTTTGTGACTCTACTGGGAGAGGACTCATGGAAACTTGTTCCTGGTTTCCCCTGGAACTTGCCCGTGCCTTTTCCTTTGCTGATTTTGCCTCATGTCCTCTCACTGTAATAGATCACGGCTGTGACTTCGACTACAGGCTGAGTCCTGTGAGTGCTCCTAGTCAATCACCAAACCTGGAGGAGCTTTTGGGGACACTGACACAATACAGTCAAAGAATTTTCAGAAAACAGTTCTGACCATGTGACTCTTGACATCTTTTGGCCCTCTCCCACCATCTACAAAAAAAGTACAAATTGCTGTTTTATCTGGTTCCAACATATCTTTCCACTCAAATATGAGCACCCTACGATTTCCAGACTATGATGTTTATCACAGCTAAATTCATGTTTATTTGACTTTCTACATTCTTTCAGGTTCAAATCCTACCCAGCTAAAAGCACTGCTTACTCTATAATACTGTTCTAAATTCTTCACAGCTGCAGTCAATCTTCCCATATCATCTTTATCCTCTTTATGATTCTTATCAATTCCCACATGTTGTAGTTATCCAACCATAAATATGCTAATTCAGGGAAGAAATATATTTGTTTCATCTGCTAGTGTTTTCCAGTGATCTATATTCAATCTATACTGGCTGGATGACAAAAGTTCTCTATGAGGAGGATATTTTAGTAACATTTGAAGACCTGTAGTTAAGACAAAGAGAGCATATCCCCCCTAAATCTGAGCTCTCAGGTCCAAAGGTGTCCACGTCTATCCAAATGTAACATTGTCCTATACCAGGGGCAAGGACAGCACCCTTAACCAATCCCCCATGTTGGTGAACCTACATCTTTTGGCTTTGTTCCCCTTTTTTAGTTAAAAGTTTTAGTCTATATACTGATAACCATCACATGGGCTGCCCATCAGCTGATTAAGCTTGTCCTTTAATTGTTCATTAAAATGCTCAACTACCTCTGTGGATTAGGGGTGATACAGAGCACGAACAGTCTACTGTATGCCCCATGACTAGGCCCATTGATGGGGAGCTTGGGCTGCAAATCCAGGCCCGTTATGAGATGCAGTGTTCTCCAGGAATCCGAACAGAAAACAAATATGGTCTTGCAGGGCCTGGATGATGGGGCCCGAGTCAGTGCAATGCATGGGGATGGCTAGGCCCAATCCAGAGACAGTGTCAACTGCAATTAGGATCCAGGGGAACACTATGGTTGGAATGAGGGGTCCAGTGTGTTCTGCCTCCTGAGAATGCCCTGGCTCACTGACTTGAAATAATCTGTTCTTGGACAGTATTTTTAGGCTTGAGCAGGGTCTGACAAATGGGACAGCTTTTTCATGCTGCTTTGGTATCTTCTCACAAGAGTGCAGTCCAAGCGTGCCAGCCTAATCTAGGATAGCATCTGAATTTTCAGGGGCCATCCTCTTGTGGATCCAGGAGGCAATTAGTTGCACATCTGACTGCTCTGGGGTGAAGAACAATTCAGTTTCCCCATTTAGCTGACAAGCATAGTATGCTCATTGGTTGTTTCCCTTTGTCAGCACAGGGGCCTTTCCAGCAAGCATCCACATATGCAACAAAATGCTTACTAGGAGCAGAACTGATCTTTATCCAAATGTCTCATCTTCACAGGGGCTCCTGTTTTATATGCCACACAATCAAAGAATGAAGCCATTGGCCACAGCCCATGAGTCAGCGAAAATATGGCAGGGCTCACTTGCTGGGGCTGGCTGGAGCAAGGAGTAGGAGACAGGGGAACAGAGAGGCAGATAATCTTACAGTCTTCCACACTGCATGAAACTGCCCACTGTGCAAAGGTCCTTTACCACATGTGGTGAAGGACAGGTCTCTTTCAGGCTGGATGGCAGCCACACCCAATTCCATCCCAGTATAAGCTAAGCAGGAGGAGCTATCAGTGAACCAGGCCCATGGGTGGTCCCCATTGGGCAAGAGGAAGCAGCGGTTCCTTGTCTGTTATTCCTGGGAGGTGGAGGGGCACCTGTGAGACCTTTGCAGGGAGCTGTGAGACTCCAGCAGGGCTGCTGTATGTGCCATCTCCACTTCACTAGAGATTCCAGAGCTGTCCCTATTCAGCAACATGCCTGGAATTTCTGCTCGTGAGCCTACCACTGCACTCATCCACCAAGGCCCAACAGGTCAACAACTGCATCTCAAGAGGTGTGTTATGTTTCAGCCAACCTGGGGAACTTACAGGTCCACATTAGCCTCTGGTGGTGTCCTTCTACAATGAGCTCCAGTGAACTGAGAGGGTGCTGAGATATGTAACTCGAATGGCAGATGTGGATCAGCGGGGTGCACAAGAAGGGAGGCCTGGTGGCCTGGTAGAGGGCCTCCAGGGTATTGCGCTGGTTAGGGCCCCAGTCAAAGGTGGTGGCCTTTCTGGTAACCCGGTAGATGGGTACCATCAAGATCCCTGCATGGGTTATATGACAGCATCAGCAGCCAAATAGGCCCATCAATCCCTGGGCCTCTTTTTTTGGGGGTCAGAAAGGCTCAAAGTTTGGAAATGATCTTCTCTGGAATGAGATGTACTGCTTCCCAGATCACACCCAGGAATTTCAGCTGGGTACAGGTCCGTGTCCCCTGTCTGTATTAACAGCCCAGCCATGTTGCCACTTGTGAGTCTTTATGGTGTCCAGTCCTTGTGGGCAGCGCCCTTGCCTAGGCCCTCTAGGTTATCAGCATAGTTTTTGTAGGTCATGGCCTACCCATTGACGGCAGATAGGTGGGGAATTTAGATAGCCTTGTAGAAGGACATTAAAGGTGTACTGGAATCCATTCCACAGAAAGGAAACTGATTCTGATTGGCCCAGTAGAGAGGGATGCCAGAAAAGGCACTTGCAATGTCAAATGCTACAGACCAAGCTCCGCCCAGTAGCATCTTCCTGATATCAGGTACCACTAGTGCCAAGCACAGCACTACGGTTCTGAGCTACCTATAATCAATGGTGAGTTTCCAGGTACCCAAGGCCTTGTGCACAGGCCAGACGGGACTACTGAATGGAGAAACAGTCTCACAGAGCACGATGGCTTCCTCCAGCTCAGCAATTACTGCAGTTATTTCTTTTACTCGCCAGGTAGCAAATATTGTTTTGGGGAGACAATGGCACCAGGAGCTGGTAGTCTGGTGGTCAGTCTCCCACATGCTTGACTAAGATAGCCCTCACTACAGCAATTCCCACTGGGGCTTGGGGACAAAGGTGAGCGAGAGTGCACAGAGCCAGGCCTGGGCAACAGTGCTGGTACTGGTTGTCACAAACTCAGAACCAGAGAGTATTATATAGATCCTCCTCACCCTGCTAACAGGGACTATAGGGATCACACGCACCTGTGCACTGATATCCAAAAGGCCCCAGAAGTGCAATTCTCCCCACCTCCCAATGAACTCTGACCCTTGGCATAGGATCTCCAGCCCTGCCTGCGGATAGAGGGGCCTCAACTGAACACATTATCAAGGTGTGGGTAAAGATGTCAAGGCTCTTCGACTCATCTCCAGACTCAGTGTACAGGATGGTGGGGACAGTACTTGTGATACTCACAGGGCTGCCATCATGCCGATCATAGTGGGGCCACCCGTCCGGTCCCTCATGGCTTGCTACCTGACCATGAGGTCCTTGGTGAAGAGCTTATTAATCTCCTCCTTTGAGACTCCATTACTGACTTACCACAGCTGGAGACCTTTTCAGAAAGTCTTTTGCACGGGTCACCCAGGAGAGAGAGCCCAGTTCTCACTCTTACTGACACTCTTTGTTCCTGTCAATGTTTGCTATCTTGGTGGTAGCTGCTTTTCCATGTCTGGAAACTTGTCAGTTAAGACTTGAACTGTGTCACAGACCGACCAATCTGGCTTCATGAGGAGGCTTAACTGGGTACAAAGCAGGATCAGCAAAGACAAACCTAGAAATCTGAGTCTGGTTAACAGTTTCATTATCCTCTGTTCCCAATCCCTCACTGTACACCCGAGGATCACCAGGATGGCTTGCAGGACCACTATAGCCTCTGTGAGGGTGGGCCAGACATGTTTTCCAGTGATAGGAAACCCATCATGGGTGGGCCAAACCTGTGAGAGTCCACACAGCACCCAACTGAGGAAGGTGAGGGTCCGGGGTGTCTGCACCTGCTCATCCTCCCCCTACCCCCGCCTCACACAAAGCCATGCCATCAGGGCATCCTAGAGGAGGAGGCCTGTAGCTACACACCCCTCTAGGTACCACTAAGTTTAACAAGGTTATCTCCCTGTGAACAACGGGTCTCTGCAGAATCAAAAAGTTTCTGCCAGGGATCCACTAGCACTCCCCAATACCCATCAGTACTTGGCTGGTGAAGTGCCCCAAAGGACTCTCAGGCTTTTTGCTTTTCCAGAACAGCATTGTGCTCAACTGACCACCTTGCTGCTACATCAATTTTGTTGTGTAGAGGTGGTTAATTAGGACAACAGCCAAACTAAAAGTAAGAATCAAGCCTTGAATCACTTACAGCAACAATGTAAGCCAAGAGGCCAAACAAAAGGCACCAGCTCCTTAGTGCTCCATTTTTCTGAGTGGAAGAGCCACAGGCGAGGGGCAGGTAACTGCAGGACAGACGGAGGACTTCATCTCACTGCTGAGGAGCACTGAACCAGAGGCTTCTGCCTCTTTATGGACCCGTGGGGAGAGGGAGGGAGAAGGATAAGGGACAGGAGCAGAAAGGTACAGACTCCAAGGGGAGAAAAGAACCTCGGCCAGCCCCTCGGTAAGGAGGTCTCAGCAGAGGTGCCCAGAAAATGCCTTAGGTGAGGCCAGCAGTCGGAGGTCTCCAAAAGAGCAACCAGGCTAGGAATGCAGACATCCACAGGAGCATGGCTGGCCCAGAGGGCCTGAGGCTATGACTACAACTCCCTCCAGACACTGCAGTGCACTGGCTGTACACCAAGTCTGGTGTGGGGAGGGCAGCTTCTCTCTTGAGGCCTGCCCGGCAAAACCTTGTAATTGCCTACAGTCAGGCCTGAAAGATCACCCATAGGATTCTGGTCCATAGGCAAGGCCTTGTGACTAGTGCTGGGCTACTATAAAGATAAATACACAGCGCCGTTACAGAATTTCAGTACCCACTCGGTAGTCTACAGCAGAAAAACATAACAAATACAAAGTAAAATGATAAAGTAGAATATAGAAAGTTTGCCAGTTTTCTGATCTCATAACTGTTAGCAACTCTTTGAACATAACCCCATTTTGTACATACACAACACTTAGGGCAACTCTGAATGAAATGAATGAAAATGAGTGGTATACTAGCATTGGTCATTACTGTCTCTATTATTAAAAGATTATATTTATGCAAATATTCAAATAATATTAGAGTTGGAAGAAGTTAAGATACTATTTAAAAATAAATATACTCACGATTCATCTAAATCTTCTACAAACCCTTTACAGAAAGCCATATCAAGTAAAACAACTGAAAAAGAAAAGACAAATATACACAATACAGTAAGTGCTGATTTATCACTTGGCTTGTACCTTATGCTTAGTCACCTAAAAAATGTTTTTGATTTTTTACAACCTACCAAAATAACATCACTGATCCATCCCAGGGCAAAAACGATGCAAGCATAAGTAGTTCATCCATTTAATAAACATTTACTCCTCGTGCAACCATAATGTGACAGGTAAGTTCTATGTAGGCTGGTGTAAGTCTAAGGCACAGAAATTCCTTTTACATATACTTTTTCTCTAATCCTATTTTTTCCTTTTTTACCAGTCCATATTTTTGGAGTAGAGATAGAAATCGTTTTTCTGGTATTTCTCCTTTTTCTCTAGTAGTAATTATCTCCTAAGTATAAACTCCAAATGCCATCAAAATACTATTAGGTTTCTTTCCCCCAAACTGATTGATAGACAGAAACAAAATGAGCTACACATCTAACACTTATTTCAGAAGAGTGCCTGGCACGTAGTGAGAGGTAAACGGTCGCTGAGTAAGTGAACACACCACAGCGAGGACCAGGGTTCCCGATGCTGGCACGAGGAGGCCGAGAAAGGCCAACACGTACTCAGATCACTTCTCATATCGCACAACCTCGGCGACCTGACCATGATCCGTCCTTGGCCATGCCTCCTGGAGCCCGGTGGGTAAAAGTTCTTCAGACGTGACAAGACTCGGAACCTAAAGCCAAAGCAAGGCTTGGCCACAAGCTGGGAAGGTGGCATCATCCTTCAAGCCGATCGATGGGAGTCGGCGCTCCTGAAACTTCCTGCCACACTCAGCAAAGGAGGAACGGAAGACAGCCGCATCTCTCGGGTGGCTGCCGCGGGTCCCCGCAGGGCCGGTTGGGGGAAGGACCTTAAAGGCGTCCGCTCAGTTAGGGGGCCCCGGGAGCGGAGGGACATCTCGGCGAACCCCGCAGCCTCTCCCCACCGGGGCCCGAGACCCCTGCCCAGGCCCGACCCCTTCAGGGAGGGTCCCGCGCCCGACCCCCTCGCCCACGCACGGCCCTTACCTGTGGCGCAGAGCCGCAGGGCAACCCCGCGTCTCCAAGCTGCCATGCTCACGCCAGGAAAGGGGGGAGACCCTGCGGAGAGGACACAGAACCCGGCGGTCGCCGCCGGCGCTCGCGGAAAGGGAGGCCGAGCTGCCGAGCGCGGAAGGGAAGCGCGGCGTTGAGGGCGGGGGCGGGGCAGGCCTGCCTCGCACCCTCCCAGGACCCGGCCGGTCTCCGCCAATGAGCATGCGCGTAACTGCGGCGCATGCGCGCAAGTGCGGCGCACGCGCGGTCGCGTTTTTAAACTCGGCCCTCTCAGCTGCCGCGAGGAGCGTGGGAACCTAGCGAGGGGGTGTTTTCGTGTTGGAGTGGAGCAGGTTGCGTAGATTGGGGGGCGTTTCCCGCAAGTTAAATACCCGCTACCCTTGGAAGATGCATTAGACTCCACCGACGCATCTTGAGGTTGAATTCCGCCAGCTCTTCCACTTCCTGTTCGTGTGTAATGAGCGATCAAATTCGTGGAAAGAGGTGGATGTTAGCGGCGGTTAGAAAGATGGGAGGCTATGGATTGCTGTGTGACCCTCCATATATTTCCAATGAATTTGGAATTTTCCTTGAACCTGTTTGCAAAAGGGGAGATGTCTTATAGTCCTAAGCCCCATTAATGTAGTTTTGCCAACTAAAGAATTCCCTTTTTAAAAATTGTTTCTTTTGAAACCTGAAAAAATGAAGTTGATCGTGGGATATAATTTTTTGTTGATTTGTTCCTGTTTTTTATGTTTGAAATAAGCATTATAAAACATTTATAAAAATTACTTAGAAAAGCGATACAGTTTTCTGTGATGGTTCTTCCAGCAGTCACTGCATCTGACCTAGACAAAATGTTTATGGGACATAAAAGACCAGAAGATTTAGATTTAAGTCAGTTACTGAACGTGTGTTATGAGAATAGAAATGAATTATGATGTCAGCCAGTTCATCTTAGGTTCAAAATTCCAACAGGCAGAAATCTCAAAACGTTGCTATTCCTAACGACAAGAAGATTAAATTATAATCTGATTGAGAACAAGCCCTAGGTTTCATCCTTTTTATGCATATGGCGTAATATCCAGAGCAGGCCTTCCGCAGATTCAGATATATTTTTTAATTGAGCATCTGGCTTATTCGAAGAGCTTAACATACATAAATATTTAATCCTCATAAAAGTTCTCAAAGTAGGAAATATTATAGATTAGGATCCAGGATCTCAGAGAAGGTAATTTGCTTAATAACTATAAATGATGGAGCTGCTATTTGAAAGTCTCAGACCCCAGAGCTGGTGTTCTTTCTGTAACACAACAGTGCCCGGCAGGATTTCTTTCTGCCCTGGAATTATCCCCTTCCCTCTTCCTTGTCCCCTTTTTCAGTCATCCTATTTTGGCTAATGGTCCAAATGTTTGAGCAGTGCATTTCCCTGGGAGTTATGCTAGGTATTTCCCAACCTAATATTTTATCCGACTGGTCACCACATCTTTTATTGCCTAAATATCTCTTGAATCTGTCCCCATTTTCTCCATCTCCATTACTCCCTGGGCAGATTCTCATCTTCTCTTGCTTGGATAATTGAAATAGCCTCCTAACTGGGCTCCTAGCCTCTAGTTTAACCCCAAGCCATCATGTCCATCACTTGCTAGATTGGTGTTTCAAAAATACAATTCAAAACAGATCACTTTAAACTTTCATACTACATCCTGGAGTACAGGAAAAAATCATGGATTTATACTGTCTGCAAGTACGGTCATCATCTGTTGTTTTCTCAACCTTCTCTCCATTAGTCCCATCCTCCCCTAACTATGCTTCCCTAGGGACAGTTCCCTGCTGAACCAGCCATGCTGTTTCCATGCCCTGTACATTTTGTAATCTTCATCATCACTTAGATTGAACATTATTACCATCAGCATTTTTGCTGTTTTAGCAAAAATCTTCTATGTTACATTTTCTTTTTAAAAAGCCTTACTTTTTAAGAGCAGTTTTAGGTTCACAGCAAAATTCAGAGAAAAGTACAAAGATATCCAAAAAAAAAGTAGACTAAAAAAATTCTCATTCTCATCTATTTCAAAATTGTCCGTCTTCCACAGCATGTAAAAGAAAATACTCCTTTAGAATTTGCATCATGGCTTCAATTAGCATATGAAGCACAACATAAACCACTCTTGACCTAGACATAAGCTTTCCAGTACTGTAACCAGCAGCTACATGTGGCTTTTAAGCTCTGCAGATGTGGTTAGTGTGACTGAGTAACTGAATAATTTAATCTTAATAAAGTGAAGTGTTAAAACTGATACTTGATTCAGTTATTGGAAAACTTTAAGTATAGCTGGCAAAACCTGGTTATGTAAATCTCCTTTTTCAACTGTAAATTAAATCTAAATACTGAATAAGTATTTCTGATGAAATTTTAGAGTCTGGAATGATATGTACTATAAATGTAAAGTTTGCAATGGATTTTGAAGACATAAAAAATAATGTAAAATTTCTAAATATTTTTATATTGATTATATGTTGAAATTATAATATTTTAGATGCAAGTAAAGTATATTATTAAAATTAGTATCACCTGTTTCTTTTTCTTTTTCAATGTGACTACTAGAAAATTTAAAATTACATATGTGGCTTGCATTGTATTTCCATTGCATATCATGGACCTAGAGAATCTGTAAATGATCAAACAAAAGCAAATTTCTTAGAGTTTTTGGATAGAAAATAAGGTAAATTTGCATATGCTAAAACTTATATTTAGTAAGTTCGTAGTACAATATAGCATATATTTTTAACTAATGAAAAATTGTGTTTTTCCTGCTTGTCTGTCTCTAGTGGTTATGAATTGAGATTTGGAAAGTTCTGCATTAAATGTAACAAGTGTTTTAACAAAAAGCTTTTAAGTGAACTGCATATTATACATGTATATGCCTCATATATCATGCATACATATCCTCACCAAAAGGCGTGTTCAAGGATGTCTATAGCAGGTCTGTTTGTGATTGTGAAAAGCTAAACTACTCAAATGTCTTGGTAGACTGGATGAGTTGTGCTGTTTTCCTGTAGCAGAATACTCCATAGCAATGAGAGTGAATGAACTATTGTCAGGGAACTGGGTGGATGTATATCACGAATGAAATGTTGAGGAAAAGAAGCGAGAAACCAAAGAAAGGTACTCACTGTATGATTTCATGTACATGAGCTCAAACCCAGGCAAATTAACCAATAGTGTTAAAAGTCGGGGTACAAGTAATGTTTTGTTTCTTGATCTGAGTGCTGGCTACACAGATTTGTTCACTTTGTGAAAATGCATTGAGCTCTGCCCTTATGGTTTGTACTTTTCTGTATAGAGACTGTAACAAAAGTTTAAAAATAAAAACAAATAAAGCTGTATAAGTTTTTAATGGAAAGATGGTCAGTATACAGTGTGAAGCAGTCCTTCTCAAACTGTACTAAGCATCAGTTACCTAGAGAACTTGACAAAACAGTTTCCGACCAATCCTTACGGAATCTGATCCAGTGGGCCTGGATTTGCGTTTGTAAGTTCCCAGGGGATGCTGTTGCACTGTCCTGCAGATCTCAGTGGTGTTGAGGAAAAATAAATCCAGAAAATACCATTCATTTTTAGATTGCTTTGTGTAAAATACATGAGGTAAAAACAAATCTAGAAATGAAAATCAATTTTTTTATAATTGTTATTTCTTGATGGTGCATAATGGTTTTGCTAATTTTAAATAACCTTACAGGACTGGCCTGGTGGTGCAGTGGTTAAGTGCGCACGTTCCGCTTCTCAGCGGCCAGGGGTTCGCTGGTTCGGATCAGACATGGCACCGCTTGGCAAGCCATGCTGTGGTAGGCATCCCACGTATAAAATAGAGGAGGATGGGCACAGATGTTAGCTTAGGGCCAGTCTTCCTCAGCAAAAAGAGGAGGATTGGCAGCAGTTAGCTCAGGGCTAATCTTCCTCAAAAAAGTAAATAAATAACATTACATATTTTTAAATGTCTCAGTTTTAATTTCTAATATGGTAAATATTGTTAGATATAACCCACGTTAAAAAAAAAATCTCTGAAGTCCTCAATATATTTTTAAGAATGTACAGTGGTCCTGAGAACAAAAGTTTGAAAACAAAGTGGACATTTGCAGAACGCTACATTCAACAAGCAGGGAGTACATACTCTTCTCTAAGACACATGGAAGAAGTAAAAGAAACTCGTATATCTAACATATCATTAAGACTCAACAGATTGAAAAAAATGTAGTTTTATCAATATATTCTCTGACCATAATGCAGTTAGGTTATAAATCCATAATACCCTAATTGGTTAAATACGCCCAAATCTGGATTTTCAAAACATACTTATAAATAACATCTTTGTAAAAAATAATAATAGGAACTAAAATATACTCAGAACGAAACAAGAAAGAAAATACGCCTATTAAAATTGTAGGATGTAGCAAAATCTGTACATTCAGAGAAACTTATAAACATAAATGCTTTTTTATTTTAGACTGAAGAAAGAGTGCAAATCAGTGAACTAAATATTCTCCTTAAGAAGTGGGAGAAACAACAGAAAAAAAGGGAGGCACAAAAAATAAACAGGGACGTTTACTTTATTGTGCCAGCAACTGTTCTATGCGCTGTGAACAAAATGGAAGCTCGTGCAGTTCACTTCCTAGTGGGTTATAAGAGTTATCACTTGTACGGTGTATATATAGTCGGACGAGCTTCTGAATGCTTTACCTACATTCACTCACTTAGAGAGACAGGAGGAAGAAGACACAGTAGACTCAAAGACGTAAGTCCCAAAGTGTGTTTTTTGAAGCAACCAATACAATGGACAAATTGGTTGTTATCGCGAATCCAGAAATAGAGTGAGAGCATATGAGAGAGAAGGAAGAAATGAGAAAACATCTAACATCCAGAAATCACCAAGACACCTTCGGAGAGGCGGGCTGAATCATCCTTCAGGCCCAGAGACGTGGAAGCCAATTTAATATTGGACCAGTCCAAGCAGAACAGCTGTAGCACCATCCCCTTCTCTG